CCCCCCCCCCCCCCAAAAAAAATAAAATAATCCCATTTTAAAATAGAATTCTTGGATTCCCCTTATTAATTTTTTAAAAATACTCTTGTCCCCCCCCCCCTTATAGAGAGATTTGTTCGTAGATATTAAGGCATTTATACAGGATTACATTTTTGAACTTTACACTTGAACTAACCCCCTCTCCACCCCCCCCCTTTTCCACGCACACACACACACAAATACACACACACACTTATTCACTGTTTCTACTTGGCCAGGCAGCATATTTACACCCATGCCCTGGAGATCACCCATACTCTATCCAGTGGCACAACTCTATCCAGTGGAACAACTCTATAACCTTCACCATTGTGCACCCCAACTGTATCCAATGGCACACCTCTATCATCTTCACCATTGTGCGCCCCAACTCTATCCAATGGCACGCTTCTATCATCTTCACCATTGTGCGCCCCAGCTCTATCCAATGGCACACCTCTATCATCTTCACCATTGTACACCACCAACATCTCTCAAACGCTACACCTCTGTCTCTATTGCTATAGTACAGCCCAACTCTATGCAAGATTATACCTCTATCATAATAACAACACTACAATCCATCTCTATATAACGCTATACCCATATCATCATTGCAGGCTTGACGAAGCCAAGAAATGGCGTTCACAAGACCGAGAGACCATCAACAAGCTCAACCAGCAGGTGTCCGAGTTGGAGGGCGAGATCCGCATGCTGAGGAGGACCAACGACTCGTTGGACACAGAACGGGCCAGGGACAAGGCAACCATCTCCAGGCTGCAAGAAGAGTTGGAGAAGCTCCGAATGGTCAGTATCTCCGCTAGGCCATACATGTCTTGACCAGTTACTGGTTTGTCTGTCTGAGTGGTGAGAAATGGCAGTGCGATTGCATAATTATGTGCCACTAAAAAAATTACTTTGAATGCTTTGTGGTATATATTAATAGTTCTACAGTGAAACCTGTGAATTACACAAGCCATTTGGACCGAACCTAAAATAGTGCTTTCCCAGGTAGTTCGCTGTTCGCAGGTTCAGACAGAATGATGATCATAAAAAACAATTTAGAAAGAAGACTTATACATATGGAAAAAGAAAAGGGAAAATACACGTTTGTAACAATGGTTGCTAGGAAACGACCAGCTTTTATTGTGCTTAAACAGTATGCATACAGTTCATTTACATCATGAGCATGTACGTGTTTCAGTGTTGGACAAGTCAATTGTGAACGCACACATAAAATATATGTACATGTGCGTTGTTGGACAAGTCAATTATAAACGCGCAGACTTAAATTTTTTGTACATGTTCAGTGTTGTCATTTTGATTAATTTTCCACACGATACACGCAATTCAGTCTCGTAACACACCTCCCGACAACACACCCTGTCGACAACACACCCTCCCGACAACACACGCTCCCGACAACACACCCTTCCGACAACACACGCTCCCGACAACACACCCTGTCGACAACACACCCTCCCGACAACACACGCTCCCGACAACACACCCTTCCGACAACACACGCTCCCGACAACACACCCTCCCGACAACACACCCTCCCGACAACACACCCTCCCGACAACACCCGCTCCCGACCACACCCCCTCCCGACAACACACGCTCCCGACAACACACCCTCCCGACAACACACCCTCCCGACAACACACCCTCCCGACAACACACCCTCCCGACAACACACCCTCCCGACAACACTCCCTCCCGACAACACACCCTCCCGACAACACACGCTCCCGACAACACACGCTCCCGACAACACACCCTCCCAACACACCTTCCCCACAACACACTGTTATCATGATTTTAGTCACCCTCCCGACAACACACCCTCCCGACAACACACCCTCCCGACAACACACCCTCCCGCCAACACTCCCTCCCGACAACACACCCTCCCGACAACACACGCTCCCGACAACACACGCTCCCGACAACACACCCTCCCAACACACCTTCCCCACAACACACTGTTATCATGATTTTAGAAACACAGCGCTATAGCTGACTGATTGGCCAAGCAAAAGATCATGCGTCATAACCTGTCCATGACGACATGACATTTCATGTGCTATTTGCAAGGAAAACAACGATTGGTACGACCGAAGTAATTGCGCATGTCGACCAAGTCATTGCGCATGTCGCTTTGACAGGATTTGGCTATATTTCAATGGTTATCATTTTAAGAAATTGATCCGGGCCTGGGGGTGGACAAACCAAAAGGCATCGTGGGCCACTTTATAGCCAGTAATGTTTGCCCGGGCCGCATGTCATTAGACCTAAGTTGGAATACAAACCCACCACATGCTGAATAGAATTGATTGTCTATTCTTAATTAACATAAACCTAAATTAATATAAAGTCATTTTATCATTTCTCACACGCACCTTATTAAAAATTGAATAAGACAACTAAGTTTAATTGGTGCTGAATGAGGCAACTAAGTTAATTGTGCTGAATACGACAACTAAGTTAATTGTGCTGAATGAGACAACAAAGTTAATTATGCTGAATGAGACAACTAAGTTAATTATGCTGAATAAGACAACTAAGTTAATTGTGCTGAATGAGACAACAAAGTTAATTGTGCTGAATGAGACAACCAAGTTAATTGTGCTGAATGAGACAACAAAGTTAATTGGTGCTGAATGAGGCAACTAAGTTAATTGTGCTGAATAAGACAACTAAGTTAATTGTGCTGAATGAGACAACAAAGTCAATTATGCTGAATGAGACAACTAAGTTAATTGTGCTGAATAACACAACTAAGTTAATTGTGCTGAATGAGACAAAAAATTTAATTGTGCTGAATGAGAGGACTAAGTTAATTGTGCTGAATGACACAACTAAGTTAATGGTGCTGAATGCGACAACTAAGTTCATTGTGCTGAATGAGACAACTAAGTTAATTGTGCTGAATGAGACAACTAAGTTAATTATATTGAATGACACAACTAAATTAATGTGCTGAATGAGACAACAAAGTTAATGTGCTGAATCAGACAACAAAGTTAATTATGATGAATGAGACAACTAAGCTAATTGTGCTGAATGAGACCACTAAGTTAAGTGTGCTGAATGAGACAGCTAAGTTAATTGTGCAGAATGAGACAACAAAGTTAATTATGCTGAATGAGACAAATAAATTAATTGTGCTGAATGAGACAACTAAGTTAATTGTGCTGAATGAGACAACAAAGTCAATTATGCTGAATGAGACAACTAAGTTAATTGTGCTGAATAACACAACTAAGTTAATTGTGCTGAATGAGACAAAAAATTTAATTGTGCTGAATGAGAGGACTAAGTTAATTGTGCTGAATGAGACAACTAAGTTAATTGTGCTGAATGCGACTACAAAGTTAATTGTACTGAATGAGACAACTAAGTTTATTGTGCCGAATGCGACAACTAAGTTAATTGTGCTGAATGAGACAACTAAGTTAATTGTGCTGAATGCGACAACTAAGTTAATTGTGCTGAATGAGAACAACCAAGCTAATTGTGCTGAATGAGACAACTAAGTTAATTATATTGAATGAGACAACTAAATTAATGTGCTGAATGAGACAACTAAGTTTAATTGGTGCTGTATGAGGCAACTAAGTTAATTGTGCTGAATGAGACAACTAAGTTAATTGTGCTGATTTAGACAACTAAGTTAATATGCTGAATGACACAACTAAGTTAATTGTGCTGAATGAGACAACTAAGTTAATTGTGCTGAATGAGACAACTAAGTTAATGTGCTGAATGAGACAACTAAGTTAATTGTGCTGAATCAGACAACAAAGTTAATTATGCTGAATGAGACAACTAAGCTAATTGTGCTGAATGAGACAACTAAGTTAATTGTGCTGAATGCGACAACTAAGTTAATTGTGCTGAATGAGACAACTAAGTTAATTGTGCTGAATGAGACAACTAAGTTAATTGTGCTGAATGAGACAACTAAGTTAATTGTGCTGAATGAGACAACTAAGTTAATGTGCTGAATGAGACAACTAAGTTGATTGTGCTGAATGAGACAACTAAGCTAATTTTGCTGAATGAGACAACTAAATTAATTGTGCTGAATGAGACACTAAGTTAATTGTGCTGGATGAGACAAATAAGTTAATTGTGCTGAATGAGACAACCACGCTAATTGTGCTGAATGAGACAACTAAGTTAATTGTGCTGAATCAGACAACAAAGTTAATTATGCTAGAATGAGACAACTAATTTAATGGTGCTGAATGAGACAATCAAGCTAATTGTGCTGAATGAGACAACTAAGTTAATTGTGCTGAATAAGACAGCTAAGTTAATTGTGCTGAATGAGACAACTAAGTTAATTGTGCTGAATGCGACTACAAAGTTAATTGTACTGAATGAGACAACTAAGTTTATTGTGCTGAATGCGACAAATAAGTTAATTGTGCTGAATGAGACAACTAAGTTCATTGTGCTGAATGCGACAACTAAGTTAATTGTGCTGAATGAGAACAACCAAGCTAATTGTGCTGAATGAGACAACAAAGTTAATTGTGCTGAATGAGACAACTAAGTTAATTATATTGAATGAGACAACTAAATTAATGTGCTGAATGAGACAACTAAGTTTAATTGGTGCTGAATGAGGCAACTAAGTTAATTGTGCTGAATGAGACAACTAAGTTAATTGTGCTGATTTAGACAACTAAGTTAATATGCTGAATGACACAACTAAGTTAATTGTGCATAACGAGACAACTAAGTTAATTGTGCTGAATGAGACAACTAAGTTAATGTGCTGAATGAGACAACTAAGTTAATTGTGCTGAATCAGACAACAAAGTTAATTATGCTGAATGAGACAACTAAGCTAATTGTGCTGAATGAGACAACTAAGTTAATTGTGCTGAATGCGACAACTAAGTTAATGGTGCTGAATGAGACAACCAAGCGAATTGTTCTGAATGAGACAACAAAGTTAATTGTGCTGAATGAGACAACAAAGCTAATTGTGCTGAACGAGACAACTAAGCTAATTGTGCTGAACGGGACAACTAAGCTAACTGTGCTGAATGAGACAACTAAGTTAATTGTGCTGAATGAGACAACTAAGCTAATTTTGCTGAATGAGACAACTAAGATAATTGTGCTACATGAGAAAACTAAATTAATTGTGCTGAATGAGACACTAAGTTAATTGTGCTGGATGAGACAAATAAGTTAATTTTGCTGAATGAGACAACTAAGTTAATGGTGCTGAATGCGACAACTAAGTTTATTGTGCTGAATGAGACAACTAAATTAATGGTGCTGATTTAGACAACTAATTTAATGTGCTGAATGAGACAACTAAGTTAATTGTGCCGAATGAGACAACTAAGTTAATGGTGCTAAATGCGACAACTAAGTTTATTGTGCTGAATGAGACAACTAAATTAATGGTGCTGAATGCGACAACTAAGTTAATTGTGCTGAATGAGACAACTAAGCTAATTGTGCTGAATGAGACCACTAAGTTAATTGTGCTGAATGAGACATCTAAGTTAATTGTGCTGAATGCGACAACTAAGTTAATGGTGCTGAATGAGACAACCAAGCGAATTGTTCTGAATGAGACAACAAAGTTAATTGTGCTGAATGAGACAACAAAGCTAATTGTGCTGAACGAGACAACTAAGCTAATTGTGCTGATTGAGACAACTAAGCTAACTGTGCTGAATGAGACAACTAAGTTAATTGTGCTGAATGAGACAACTAAGCTAATTGTGCTGAATGAGACAACTAAGATAATTGTGCTGAATGAGACAACTAAATTAATTGTGCTGAATGAGACGACTAAGTTAATTGTGCTTGATGAGACAAATAAGTTAATTGTGCTGCATGAGACAACTAAGTTAATGGTGCTAAATGAGACAACCAAGCTAATTGTGCTGAATGAGACAACTAAGTTAATTGTGCTGAATAAGACAGCTAAGTTAATTGTGATGAATGAGACAACTAAGTTAATTGTGCTGGATGAGACAAATAAGTTAATTGTGCTGCATGAGACAACTAAGTTAATGGTTCTGAATGAGACAACCAAGCTAATTGTGCTGAATGAGACAACTAAGTTAATTGTGCTGAATGAGACAGCTAAGTTAATTGTGCTGAATGAGACAACTGAGTTAATTGTGCTGAATGTGACAACAAAGTTAATTGTGCTGAATGAGACACTAAGTTAATTGTGCTGGATGAGACAAATAAGTTAATTGTGCTGAATGAGACAACTAGGTTAAATGTGCTGAATGCGACAACTAAGTTAATTGTGCTGAATGAGAACAACCAAGCTAATTGTGCTGAATGAGACAACAAAGTTAATTGTGCTGAATGAGACAATTAAGTTAATTATATTGAATGAGACAACTAAATTAATGTGCTGAATGAGACAACTAAGTTTAATTGGTGCTGAATGAGGCAACTAAGTTAATTGTGCTGAATGAGACAACTAAGTTAATTGTGCTGAATGAGACAACTAAGTTAATTGTGCTGAATGAGACAACTAAGTTAATGTGCTGAATGAGACAACTAAGTTGATTGTGCTGAATGAGACAACTAAGCTAATTTTGCTGAATGAGACAACTAAATTAATTGTGCTGAATGAGACACTAAGTTAATTGTGCTGGATGAGACAAATAAGTTAATTGTGCTGAATGAGACAACCACGCTAATTGTGCTGAATGAGACAACTAAGTTAATTGTGCTGAATAAGACAGCTAAGTTAATTGTGATGAATGAGACAACTAAGTTAATTGTGCTGAATGAGACAATCAAGCTAATTGTGCTGAATGAGACAACTAAGTTAATTGTGCCGAATAAGACAGCTAAGTTAATTGTGCTGAATGAGACAACTAAGTTGATTGTGCTGAATGAGACAACTAAGTTAATGTGCTGAATGAGACAACTAAGTTGATTGTGCTGAATGAGACAACTAAGTTGATTGTGCTGAGGACATGGCAACGCGCGTTGGCCAGCGCTCTAATATTGCAGGGACTACACTTTTCCAAGGTTCGAGTTAATGTACTGAACTGTGATAGTGTTAATGTACTGAACTGTGATAGTTTTACATTGTAATTCCTTTTCAATTTCTATCACCCACTCTGTTCCAGGACTTGAGCAACGAGACCATCGCCAGGCTGGACGCTGAGAACAAGTACCAGACATTGCTGGAGGAGATTGAGTTCTTGAAGAGTGTTCATGAACAGGTCAGTTTTTTTAGCGGGTTAAAAAGCTAAAATGTAAAAGGTCAGGTCTGTGTTAAACTGGTCATTAGGTTAAAGGTAAAGCCAGTTTGCAGCTGGTTGTTAGGTTAAAGTTCATGTTGGCTGGTATCTGGTATAAAGTTCGAAGTTCAGAATAGTTTTTTTACCAATTTATTCATTGTAATCATGATTTTCATTGGGTGAGCAGTTTAAGTTGGCAGATACAAAGAACTTTAGGTTGGGATGTAAATGGTCATTGGGTTCGATGTATTGAGGCAAAGTCAATACTTGATTTGATTTACAAAATCTGATAAAAACAACGTTATACTGCAGGGGTTATCAAACTGTTGTAAGTTTACCTCAGCATTGGTACATTACTTTGTTTTATGTGGCACAACATAGAAATGTACCTCAGCATTGGTACATTACTTTGTTTTATGTGGCACAAAATAGAGATGTACCTCAGCATTGGTACATTACTTTGTTTTATGTGGCACAACATAGAAATGTACCTCAGCATTGGTACATTACTTTGTTTTATGTGGCACAACATAGAAATGTACCTCAGCATTGGTACATTACTTTGTTTTATGTGGCACTACATAGAAATGTACCTCAGCATTGGTACATTACTTTGTTTTATGTGGCACAACATAGAAATGTACCTCAGCATTGGTACATTACTTTGTTTTATGTGGCACAACATAGACATGTACCTCAGCATTGGTACATTACTTTGTTTTATGTGGCACTACATAGAAATGTACCTCAGCATTGGTACATTACTTTGTTTTATGTGGCACAACATAGAAATGTACCTCAGCATTGGTACATTACTTTGTTTTATGTGGCACAACATAGACATGTACCTCAGCATTGGTACATTACTTTGTTTTATGTGGCACAACATAGAAATGTACCTCATCATTGGTACATTACTTTGTTTTATGTGGCACAACATAGACATGCACCTCAGCATTGGTACATTACTTTGTTTTATGTGGCACAAAATAGAGATGTACCTCAGCATTGGTACATTACTTTGTTTTATGTGGCACAACATAGACATGTACCTCAGCATTGGTACATTACTTTGTTTTATGTGGCACAACATAGAAATGTACCTCAGCATTGGTACATTACTTTGTTTTATGTGGCACAAAATAGAGATGTACCTCAGCATTGGTACATTACTTTGTTTTATGTGGCACTACATAGACATGTACCTCAGCATTGGTACTTTACTTTGTTTTATGTGGTTGAACATAGAGCTGCAACAAACATTGAGACAAAGATCTTCAGTGCATCATTCAGAAAGAATGCACATGGTGGTACATGCATTGCATCCATTGATTTTAAGTGGTCGACAGTCCAAAAGTTTGAGAAGCACTTTCCTACTATCAATTTGAATGATGATTGTAGTTGGGTGATCTATAAGGAAACTCCATGACTTCTAATGCTGACCTTCAGGATGCCCTTTAAAGCAAACAACCCATTCAAGAATAAAATGGTTTCCTTATGTTGCTTGATGATGTCTATGATTAGGAGCTGAAGGAGTTGTCAGCCCTTGCCTACAGAGACACCACCGCTGAGAACAGAGAGTTCTGGAAGAATGAGCTGTCCCAGGCAATCAGGGACATCCAGCAGGAGTATGACCTTAAGGTGGACCAGATCCGAGGAGAGATGGAGACATTCTACAACCTCAAGGTCAGTAACTGGTCACTGGCTTTAGGCCGCTAGTAAAACCGGGCTTGAGTTATAGTGTAAATAGATATTTTCTGAGCATTGGATGTATTTATTTTAGATAGGTAAAATATACATTTCTAAACCTTGTTATATTTAAAAAGTATTGGGAATGATACACCCCTTAAATTAACATTAGATTATCTTGATACACACCTTATTTTAACATAAGACTATCTTGTTACACCCCTTAAATTAACATTAGATTATCTTGATACACACCTTATTTTAACATAAGACTATCTTGTTACACCCCTTAATTTAACATTAGATTATCTTGATACACACCTTATTTTAACATAAGACTATCTTGTTACACCCCTTAATTTAACATTAGATTATCTTGATACACACCTTATTTTAACATAAGACTATCTTGTTACACCCCTTAATTTAACATTAGATTATCTTGATACACACCTTATTTTAACATAAGACTATCTTGTTACACCCCTTAAATTAACATTAGATTATCTTGATACACACCTTATTTTAACATAAGACTATCTTGTTACACCCCTTAATTTAACATTAGACTATCTTGATACCCACATTAATTTACATTAGACTATCATCCTCTTGTATTAACTGATTAGTCTGTCAGATAAAATCTACCTGGGTCTTTATTGGGTCTAGTCGCCATTGCAACACCCTTTTACAAATGAAATGTTGGTGAATAAAATAAATTTGTGTATGTTACCCTTACTGTAAGTTTGGATCTGTATTTCTTAAAATAGCTAAGATGTACCCTCGATATAAGGTAAAACCCTATGTTATATTGATGCACTTTCATTTTCCACTAGCCAGAATATACCAATAATTAAGTTAGTACAATTAAAATACAAACTAAAAGTCTTAATTTTTTTTAAAAGTAATCTCTATTTTTGTTTGTTCTATTCTCCTCAGGTCCAAGAGTTCCGAACTGGCGCCACCAAGCAAAACATGGAGGCAACTCATGCACGAGAGGAAACCAAGAAACTCCACAAGCAGCTGGGTGACTCACGCACACGATTGGCTGATTTGGAAGCTAGGGTTAGTACAAAAATCAGATGAGATGGTTTGTTTAAAGCCTTGACTAGAACATCTCAGCTGGGACATTCAAGTTAAAAACTGGTGCTAATGAACTGATACTATCGTTGAATCTCAACATTGAAAATATTTTGCAACACATTTTTGTTCTTAAAATCTATAGTTTGAGAAGCATTGACCTTCTATTGGTTTTATTGTTAAAAGCCCCAAATTATGATTTCTTACCTCCACTTTAAAATTTAAATCATGTTGGTGGTAAAATATCCTCAAACTTTTTGAGAATTATATTGTACAGCTAATCTCCAAAACATCAAATTGGTTTTAAGGGTTTGTATTGATCAATAAATCCCAGAATGCCCAACTTGAGAAGCAGTACCAGGATCTGCTGCGTGAACTCGAACAGAAGGAGCACGAACATGATGTAGAGATCAACTCCATGAAGGAGGAGATGAACAAGCTCAGGGTTGAGATGGAGGGCATGTTGGTGGAACTCCAGACGCTGATGGACGCCAAGCTGTCTCTCGAGCTGGAAATCGCCGCATACAGGAAACTATTGGAAGGGGAGGAAACCAGGTAGGTCTTACTGTGTTTTTTGTAAGGCTAAAGTTATGTCCCATTTCATGCAATAAGAAACACATGACCAGGAGATGGAAAATAACAAATGAAAGAATTTAAGGATGATAATAAAAGGAGGTTGCAAATAATTGATAAAAAGTTAGAAGAAGTAAAAAAAAATTTGCTTTGAATAATTATTAAAGTCAGGAAAGGAAGAAATATTTAATTGAAGAGAGGATGACAGGAATGAGTGAATGGATAGTATAATAGTGTTAGACTAGAAAAAACATAAAGAAAAAAATACTATGAAAAGACCTACATTTTAAACAGATCATTATATATTGCTGTTTTATTTCATCATAGTGAACAACAATAAAGCTGTTTTGTTTGACTCTAGTAAAACATCACATCAGCTTAACCTTTAACCTTTGGCCTAAAGATGAAAAGAAAAATCATCAATATTTAAAATATGAATCCAGATGACAATTAAGGGATATGTTAATATATCATCTATACATTGAACATTCTATTCCAATCTCTATGAGCTTTGGTAGATACCTAGAATATTTTTTAAAAATCAATTTAAAAAATCGTAACATTTTTAAAGAAACATAATAAATAGACTGACATGTACAAAAGTGAAACATGTAATAGAGCAAATATTCAATGACAGATTGGACTATGTAATATTATAGAAATAACAAGACGTTCCTCAGCAATACATTTCTAATGCATATGAGACTCTTTTTTTGTTTCAGGATTCTAACTTAGTGTTTATTTTACTCTAAAAATATAACACAAATTATATCACGATAATATTGAAAGGTACAATGAATGCAATTACATAAATGATAATGCTACGGTAAAATGTTTTTACAATAATGTTATTGTTATTAATGTTGTTCATTGTTATAATTAATGCACTCTCTTATTTCAGTTTGTTACATAAGTTACCATTTTATTTAATTTTTAAACATTTAATTTCTTTTCTTTTTAATTTGCTGAAATATCTACTCTTTTAAAATTCCTATTTCTTTCAACAGTTTAGTTATTTGAAAAAGCATTTTTTTAAATTACCAAAGGTTTAAAACAGTGTTTTGGTTAAGTTACGGTTAAAACACTGTTTTTGCTAAATTAAGGGTCAAACAAGTGCTTTTGGGAAAATTAGGGTTAAAGCACTGTTTTTCAAAGGTTTAAAGTAGTGTGTTTTCTAAATGTGTTGTAAATGTTAAGGCAGATGTATTGTAAAGTTAGTATTTAAAATGGTGTTAATGTATCTGATTAGTCACACAGTTTGATTGAGTGTTATTTTGGCAAGACTAAGAATGAAAGATAACTTCAAGACATTTTTTACCCACGTTCACAAAAATAGCAAATGAAAGTAGACCCTATCTACGTCATGATCCTTTTTGACTAGCAGCACAATCAACCGTTTTATTTAATGAATAGTTTTGTTTATTTATACGAATTTAATTTTCATTAAAATAACTAAATAAATACAATTTAATTTTTTTTAAATAATCATTTAAACATCACCACTATTGTTTACTTGCTGGTTAATAATCTAAAAGTATAATTATTGAGTATAGAAAGAAGAAACTCACGCGAACATGTCTTTAATTCAAAAATGATCTTCATTTGTAAACATTTCTGTATCGAAAGATAGGCTTTCTCCACTCAGTGGATATAATAATATAATAATATTTAACCTATAGCATTAGGTTTGAAGGTATGTTGCTCGTATGAAGGCTAAGTTTAGTAGAGTGGCCACCCCTCTTTCTGTCAGCAACAACTGCAAGGTAAAGACATGTTAAATTGACGGAAATGATGTCTTACTGTTGGTATCTAAAGACACACTAAATTATGTTAGACTATTTAGTTGTTCATCCGTGGTCACCATCGACTGGACCACCTAGTCATCCGATTTGTGCTCGGAATCTTCTCGCGGGCAGTGTATAGTGACTATTGAGACAATTTAAGAGAACACTGTTTTAAAACTGAGACTTTATTTCTAATTAATGTAATTCTCATCTTTCTAATGTCTGTAATTCCTCATGTCTCCTTTGCTCTTCTTCAGCAGGCTATAGAAATGAATACGGTAACTAGAAATTAAAATAAATGTCAGCGGCGGCCCTAGCATTTTTTTTTATTATTGTATAGATGGTGTGCTATCGTTGAAATCTGTTTGATTTTTTTTTCTTTTGGTACTTGGCACCTCCTCCAAGATAGTATATGTGCAGTTGGGCCGCCTCTGAAAGGGTCCATCCTACGATAAAGCCCGACTTACGCGTAGAGCCAGGGCTGCGGAGTGGGACATGTTGACAATTCTGACAAACTCCAGGGATTGGACTCTGAAATAGACATTTGACCTCAATCTTTGGTTGTTGTTTTTTTGTGTGTGTCTGTAATGTTGCTGAAGACCAATTGAAACCACTCTGATTTTTTTACTTCAAGCTCTTGACCCTTACCTCTTCGGCTCCGCAGCTCTGGTCTCCGTAACTTCCAACTTAATCGTCCACTGCCTTTGTTTTATTATCTCACGCTCCTATCCTCCTTCTCCTCCTCCCTTGCACAGGATCCCTCTTCGCCACTCTTTTCGTCACTCCTACTCTCCTTTCCCCACCAACTCTACTGTCAAATCGGACACCAACGGGTCACCGTACGGCGCGGGATCTCCCAAATACACCTACGTCAGCCCCAAGGGAAGAGAATACACCAGGGACACCCTGGCGAGGGATAACTCTGACAGAGACTCGATGGGCAGAGCGAGTCCTGCTGCAGCCGGGAAAACGACCGACGTTGTTGTCCGGAGTGAGCCCCCCACCAAGGTTGTCGTCCCTGCCACTGCGTCATCGGTCGTGGTGACGGCTGCGGAAGTCAAAACAAGCAAACGGTTGGAGGACGAGAGGAGGAGTGCCGGGAAAGTCATGGAGACATCGGCTGGTAACGAATCAGACGAGTCTCAGCAAGCGAAGGAAGGTCAAGTATCCACAAAAGTCACAGAGAAGGGGTACTGGAAGCCAGTGGAGACGAAGCCAGTAGACACAGTGGACACGAAGCCAGTAGACACAGTGGACACAAAGCCAGTAGACACTGTGGACACGAAGCCAGTACACACTGTGGACACGAAGCCAGTAGACACAGTGGAGATGAAGCCAGTAGACACTGTGGACACGAAGCCAGTAGACACTGTGGACACGAAGCCAGTAGACACAGTTGACACGAAGCCAGTAGACACGGTGGACACGAAGCCAGTAGACACTGTGGACACGAAGCCAGTAGACACTGTGGACACGAAGCCAGTAGACACTGTGGACACGAAGCCAGTAGACACAGTGGACACGAAGCCAGTGGAAACAGTGGACACGAAGCCAGTGGAAACAGTGGACACGAAGCCAGTAGACACAGTGGACACGAAGCCAGTAGACACAGTGGACACGAAGCCAGTGGCCAAGGTGGCAGTGGAGAGTGAGGGGGAAGTGGGCAAGGACATAGAGGAGTTTTCAAAAGAGGAGTTGATCGCTGCTCACTCAGCTCCTTCAGACACTAGGTCTGCTCCCGTAAAAAGGGACGCAACTGATGATGGAGAACAGACGGAACCTGATGTATTGGCAGATGAACCTGATGTATTGGCAGATGAACCTGATGTATTGGCAGATGAACCTGATGTATTGGCAGATGAACCTGATGTATTGGCACATGAACCTGTTGTATTGGCAGATGAACCTGTTGTATTGGCAGATGAACCTGTTGTATTGGCAGATGAACCTGTTATATCTCAATCCGATTTAGAAACTGTTGAAGAAACTTTGCATGGTAAATTAAATGATGAAGAGGTTGAAAAATCAAAGGCAGAGGACGAAGAGGGCGGGCAATCAAAATCAGATGAAGGGATTGTTGAGCAGGTTCAAGATAAAATAGATGGTCAAGAGATCAAATTAGAAGGCGGGGCTGTACAATCAGGTTTAGAAGTAGATGAACGTTCGAAACTAGATGAAGAAATTGAGGAGACGGAGGAGACTGAGTTATCAACAGATGTTGATGAAGCAAAATTAGAAGAGGAGAAAACTCAGCAGCTCAAGATAGAAGAGTCGCTTCTGCAATCGAAACTGAAAGAAGGAATCGAAAAGTCAAATTTAGTCGAAGCTGAGCAGATAACATTGGAGGTAAATATTGAGCATTTTAAATCAGAGAAACGGACACAGGAATTAACAGAAGACCGCCCTGATAATCAGAACTTTGACCAGGCTGGACAGTCAGGAGTTATCCAACCCGAGGATGAAGCGAGTGAGAAAGTCGTATTTGACGTTCAAGACACAGAGGCCATTGTTGAGGCTCAGCACCTGTGCTCCGTCCACGAAGACATTAGTACACCTGGCATCGTAGCCGACAGTCCTAGTGGAAGTTTCAGTGAGAAAACTCGGGCCACTGAATTTGTAGCACACGCGGGTAGTGCTCAAAGTCACGAAGTGGAAGATTCAGATATTCTAGGGGATATTGCAGAGGAACCCACTGGTAAAGAGGAACATGCTGGCGGTCATCCGGAAGAAGATGAAGTCATGGAAGGTGTTTCAGAAGAAAGACCGGAGAGCGGCCAAGTACGGACACCAGTTGGCGCAAGTCCCTCGCCAATCACGGATGTTGAAGGGACATCTGAGTTGAGGGCACAAACAGAGGACATTCATGACCTTCCAACACCCATTGTGGACACTGTGTTCCCCAGAGATCAAAGCGGAGCTGATGCTGATGCACCAAAACATGGCGAGGGAACTGATACCCCACCGCCAAGTCCAACAACAGCTGCCGAGAGAGACGGGATGTTGAAAACTATTGGGCAGCTTAACGAAACCGTGGGTCAACAAAGTCATATAGTGCTGGAAGAAGTAAGCATTCCTTGTTCGGATACTTCCGGTGTTCAAACCCGAGGTCCGAGCGACGGAGAACAGTCAGAGGAAGAGGCGATGTTAACGGAAACGGTGACGCGCGTGCAGTTGACTTCGGCCAGTGATTCTAGCTGTATTGACGGGGAAGTCGTTGTGGAGGTCATGATTAAGGAAGATGTGAAGCGTGATCAACTAGTCCCGGTTAGAACAACTGAAGACAGTGCTAAAACGGTCGAGGTTCATGAATCCGACCAACTCGATGAGATGGCAGGACACGAAGATGTAGAGAAAGAGCATGAGGTTGAAATATCCAATGGAAATAGTGAATACAAAACAGCGCGTGGCATTGACTCAAAACATGAAGATACATCCGAGGTTACTGAAAGAGAGGCCTTGAAGGAACCTGTAACTCACAGCGAAGATGAGTCTAGTCATAGTACAACAACTGAAAGTGATAAGAACCTCGCTGTGAATGGTTCTGATTCGTCTGTAGCATATGTATTGAAGGGCGTAGAGAGTAAAACGGAAGTTAGTGAAACTGCAAGTGATAACGCTGGATCAGTCGATGGCATGACGAAGATCCATTATCCTACCCTTGTGACGGACCACGGAAGTGAGGACATCGTCACGGTTTCAAAATATGACTCACAACATGACTTAGTAAGTGAGGGTCATGATGGAGATGTTGTCTTGGAGACCACGGGCCACCATGTTGAAGAAGCAAACGAGACCATAGATACGTCTTTCAGGTCGGGAAGTGAAGATGTAGTCTCAGGGGGGGCTGCGCATGCGTTTGATGATGATGAAAGGCTGTCTGTGACTTCAAGTACAGAAATCAACAATGTTACATCCCTGGAAGCAACGGCTGATCCAGCGGAGGTTGCTCTATTGGATGAAGTTTTGTTCACTGGTTTAACAGCATCTAAACATTCAAGTGCAACATTAGCGGAGGCAACAGACAAGAACACAGGAATTGAAGTGGAAGACGTAGAGAGGTCTCCTGCAGGTACCCTTGTGGGAGGCCCTGGTGGTCATGACAAAAATCGGGAAGACTTTGCTAGTAGTGATCATCAAGATGTAGATAAAAGAGAGGACAGCGGAGATGTGAGTGTGACAACCGGAGATGTGAGTGTGACAACCGTTGAAACGGAACAGGTCGCAAAAAGTCATGTCGTCACCAGTGCAGACGATCAGATCTTAGCTAACATCGATAGTGGGGAATTAGATGAAACGATTGAAACTGCTGAGCAGCGGGAAGATGGGGTGAAAACTGAAATGGTTCGCTCAACTTCCGGTCAGGAAGATATTATTATATCCAAAACGTTTAGCTTAAGTGAGAGCAGCGCTAAATGTCTGACCGAGTCTGAGAAAATGACATCCAGCAGACACGAGACGGACACTGTAGAGGTTGTTGGGTCATCAGGGGACAAGACGGTACACGTGACGTTGGACTCATGGGAAGGTGACGATATAGTGTTAGGGGGACAGCTGCAGATAGATGGGGGTGAAGACGGTATCGAAGAACTGACCGTTGGGGGGTCTCAGGAGCTAAATCATGAAGATAGACCCGAGGCAGTTGACTTGGAGGAAACACGAACAACTAAGAGCGACAAAGGATCAGAGAGTCTCCATGAAAATGAGGAAGTAATCGATGGAAAACAATGGGATGCCGAGACATCCGAAGAAATGGGGGGATCGAAATCAGAAGATCAGGAACCAGTTCTAAAAGAAGAAGACTCCCTTAAGCCGCAGGCTGAGGACCAACACCTCCAGAAGGTCATAGATGAGGACGAGAAGCACGTCATAAGTGAACACGAAGACAGCCCCGTGACGCATCACTCGGAAGCTTCTGAACCTGTATTCCATGACGAAGCTGACATCGGCTTTAAATGCACGTCAGAACAAATCGAACACTCCAAATTAACTTTAGATCTTTCAGAAATTGAAGACACCCGGAATATTACCGAGTATTCGGAAGAAAGAGACCACGTGACAACAAAGGTGACTAGGGAAGATGTGACCGAGGCGTCTAGTCCAGATATCAGCATGGTTGAACAGGCGAAGGCTGACTTCTCTATGGCCACCCCAATTCCAGGTTTGGATAAATCTGCTGGGGACGACACGGACGAGGACGCTCTGAATGATGACGACATGGGAACGGGAGCAGACGGCACACCAGTTAAGGAAGTGGCTTTTACAGAAGGTATCACAGGCAAGGCAAGTGCTCCAGGGGAGTATGCAATGCCGGAGGACTTTGATGAGCATGACGAGACGGAAGGAAGTGTAGATGCCAGCAACGCTTCAACAGAGCATGGACTTGAAGCAGGTGATGTACCGAGCAGCGAGGTGGTTTTAGCTGGCGTAACTCGGGAACTGACCAATGCTGGTTTGTTTCATGACACTGAGAACAAGTTTGATGAGATGGTCGTCCAGTCTGCTGTGACCGTAGAGGCAAGCTCGGGGGATGATGATGTGAGGGCACGTTCAGAGGCGACCTCCCCAGTCGGAGAGGTTATTTTTGTCACCGATACTGAAAGGAGGGACGCCAATGTAGATGTAGAAATAAATGAAAGAAAAAAGAGTCTACGCGAAGATGATGATGAAAGCAAAGAAAGTCAATACAAATCAGATGTTCATGAAAAGAAAGAGAGTGTAGATAAATCAGATGTTCATGAAAGCAGCTTACAAGAATCAGATGTTCATGAATGCATAGAGAGTCTCCATGAATCAGATGTTTATGGAAGCAAAGATAGTCTTCTTGAATCAGATATTCATGAAAGCAAAGAGAGTCTCCATGAGTCAGATGTTCATGAAAGCAAAGAGAGTCTCCAAGAATCAGATGTTCATAAAAGCAAAGACAGTCTTCATGAATCAGATGTTCATGAAAGCAAAGACAGTCTTCATGAATCAGATGTTCATGAAAGCAAAGACAGTCTCCATGAATCAGATGTTCATGAAAGCAAAGACAGTCTCCATGAATCAGATGTTCATGAAAGCAAAGAGAGTCTCCATGAATCAGATGTTCATGAAAGCAAAGAGAGTCTCCATGAATCAGATGTTCATGAAAGCAAAGAGAGTCTCCATGAATCAGATGTTCATAAAAGCAAAGACAGTCTCCATGAATCAGATGTTCATGAAAGCAAAGACAGTCTCCATGAATCAGATGTTCATGAAAGCAAAGACAGTCTCCATGAATCAGATGTTCATGAAAGCAACGAGAGTCTCCATGAATCAGATGTACATGAAAGCAAAGAGAGTCTCCATGAATCAGATGTTCATGAAAGCAAAGAGAGTCTCCATGAGTCAGATGTTCATGAAAGCAAAGAGAGTTTATTTGAATCAGATTTTCATGGAAGCAAACAAAGCTTACATAATTCAGACGCTCATGAAATTAAAGAGAGTTTGCAAGATTCAGATGTTCATGAAAGTGAACGAGAGCGTGTCATTTCAGACAAATCTGAAGAGTTGCTAGAGGATTCTTACAGGGATGATTGTGAAACGCGAGTAGATGCCAGTCCCAGCCTTGTTCCCGAGACTTACGAAACAGATGACGTTGTGCCACCACACTTGCAGGCTGGTGTACCGGATGACTTGCAGGCTGGTGTACCGGATGACGGCCTCGCATCAGTTACTGTCGACCCGGAACAAGACCCGACCTTAAAAGATGGTGTAACTGCCGCTGAAAGTAGGTCACATGAGCTCTCCGAAACCAGCAGCCATGTTCGCATAACAACTTCGGAAGAATCATCTCGAACGAGTAGCATTGCTGTAACCACGATTGGGACTGGGTTCAGCCATCGGGAAGAACATGATGCCCATACATCCATGACTGTTGCGTCATCCGCTCACGTTGATACGGAAGACCTATTGGAAGTGGAGAAAGTCAAGGAAAAAGTGCACGAAATTTTGGAGACGGCCCAGAGGAAGCTCCCCTTGGACGGTGACTTTAAGGAAAGTGGGTCATCCGAGGAGCACGTGGTTAATGGTAGCATGGGGGCGTCGCCAAGTGGAGACTCTGCCCCCCTAGTTGAAGGCGGGCTTGAAGAGGTGGAGATAACAAATTTCCAGGTTGTGAAAGGAGAATCCAAGGTCACCTACACTGTGACCGAGGACCTGAGCCGTACAGAGTATAACGAAGAGTCTCAAACCGTGGGACATGGGGACGACAGTGAAGCTAAGGGGGCGGGCGGGTTCAGTGTTGCGTCCAAAAAATTCGCCGCGTCGAGCGAACGGGCGCCAAATGACGAAGCAGACGTTGACATTGCTACCCCAGCAAGTAGTAGAGTTTAGATTGATGAGAAATTTGTGATCGGCTTAAACGTTGATAGCGTGTTTTTATATTGAAATAAATTATACCAAACAAAAAGACAAGAATTGTCTTAGAAAATTGCAATGCATTCTGAAAATTAATTTTTTTTTTTTTTTTTTTTAAATTAAAAATTCCCCTAGCGTATGTTTAGAGCGAATTAGTCAGTTTCATCCTATCTTCCTTTATCACTATTTTTTTAAACAAAAAGACAAGAATTTTCTTAAAAAATTGCAATGTATTTTGAAAATTAATTTTTTTTTTTTTTTTTTTAAATTACAAATTCCCCTAGCGTAGGTTTAGAGCGAATTAGTCAGTTTCATCCTATCTTCCTTTATCACTATTTTTTATTCATCTCCGCACTTTTATTCTAAATATAACTACTTGTTGTCAAAGCCTTCGTTTCGTATTCCAAAAGGACGTTTTCTTGTTTAAGTTCTGTTCTTCACTTCACTGCAAGCAAAATAGAGCCAACAGTAACTACTGATTGATCGTTTAGCGAAAGTACTCGGAACTGAGAAAGAATCCTTTTGGAGATTCAGACTCTCAAAGGAAACTGAGAAGAGATGAAAATTGACGAATTCATCTTCATTTTAAATGAAATATTGGAACAAGCACACTCCAGAATCTTCAATGGATCTATTGAATTTACTTTGTATTTTCTTATTTATTATTATTTTAATTTCTTCGCTCACATCTTGTAATCACCCACGCTCTCAATGTACGCATATTTTGTATAATTCAATTGTAATGCAAATTTTTTAAAGACATTTTATTTTTTCACGCTCGTTATATGGTCACATTGAACGTCTTTCATGCCCTCGACACATACCTCAGTTGTTAACGTTTGTACAATGTTAACATTTGATGGGATTTGTTCTCATGTGTTATTTGTGTGCCCGAAATATCTTTCACACCATTGTAAGCCCCTTTCATGTTGAATATTTGAGTCTGTTAAAATTGTAATAGTCTAGTGGATCTCAAATTGGTGGTCCACGGACCAACACCTCAGTTGCCTGTCCGCAAAGGTTTTTTTTTTAAGTAGATCGAAAAATACTATTTGACAACTTGAGTGGAGTGAGACCATGATTAGGAAAAAAGGTCATTATTAGCTAAACAATGCTAGACGTCAACAAGTCAACAGGAATCAGGCATAGTTTGAAAAGTCGTCTAGATATGTGCAATGAAACCTTTCATGGTGGCGAGGACCAGAAATCCTATTCTAATAATCAGGGTTAGTTATCTACGCGTAACATATTCAAGCATTTCATCAGCCAGTGTGTTTGGGTTGTAGAGAATTTGAGGAGCCCCGAATAAACAGTGAAAGATCAGTACAATAAACATTGAAAGATCAATACAATTAACAGTGAAAGATCAATACAATAAATATTGAAAGATCAATACAATAAACAGTGAAAGATCAATACAATAAACAGTGAAAGATCAATACAATAAACAATGAAAGATCAATACAATAAACAGTGGAAGATCCATACAATTAACAGTGAAAGATCAATACAATGAACATTGAAAGATCAATACAATAAACAGTGAAAGATCAATACAATACACAGTGAAAGATCAATACAATTAACAATGAAAGATCAATACAATAAACAGTGAAAGATCAATACAATAAACAGTGACAGATCAATACAATAAGCCGCTGATCGTAAACAAGATTCCACCGAATCAACATTGACAGATTTACACAATCAACTGCTGTTACCGTAAAGGTATTATGTTCGTCCAACGGGTGTAGCTACTTTGAAGTAATCTTACCTCTTAACTGCTGCCGTAGTTTTGTGTGATATCATGGAGGGACTATTCAGTGCAATCACGATTTTTAAAGTAGTGCGTTTTAATGTTTAAAATGTATATCGATTACTTTTAAAATTAGTATTCTTCTTTAAGATATAATGTTTGTTTCTAGTAAATATATTACTCAAAGTATTTTTAATCTTGAAATCCAATTATGCTTATACAATGTAAAATAAAAAGGGTTTTCTCGGGTAAATAATTGAAACTAAAATATGGGCATACAAATCACATACATTGAAAATAAATGTATTCTCAAACAACAAGTACTAAAATTGTTAAACTATCACCTGTCCATTCTTCTTTAAAAAATGTTGATTCTGACCCTTAACTATTTTCAAAATGAGCGCTCCCTCCCAAAATCGAATGTCAGCTCCTGTGACGTATATTTTATTGGAAAAATAGCCCATTGTCCCTGTTTCTTTAAGATGACGTCATTTCTGTGATGGTTTAAAAAGTCAGCTTCCATTGCTCTTTAGATCAAGAGGAACTTCGCGGAGCAGTTCCTACGCTTCCGTCCGTGACGTCCTAGGCAGCCAAGACAACCTCGAAATCACTGTAGAAAAACGCCTCACTGAAGGACGTACGTGGGGCGTCATTTTATTTTCCACAAAATCTTTCCCCCTCCCCATAAAGTCTTTTCTTTTTTGGTTAACCTCCCTTTTCCTTTCGGGGCAGACGGACCCATTATGTCAACAATTGATTCGTTCATTTAAGGCTTTAACTCACTTTGGCCCAGCACTTGGTCATCCAGTCCTATTTCATATTTTCTGTCTGTGTGTGTGTGTTTCGTTAACCCAAACGTGTGCTTTTTTAAAATTTGCATATTTTAAAAAAAGCTTTTTTAATTTTATTTGGACACTTTTTGTTTCTTGGGCTTGACTGTTGCAGACCTGTGCCTCAATAATATATAAGGAAAACATTCAAAGCTCCCTTGCCTCAGCTGTCGTCCCAACATTTTTCTGTTTCCTTATTTTAATTTGCTTAAGTTGGATGCGTTTCCTTCTAATTTTATTTATTTTTTTATTTTTTAAAATTTTATTTTTTAAAATTTTATTTTTGTTAGTTTTTTTTTTTTCAAGTTTTGTCCCATAAATTTATATCCAAAAATGTTAATCATTTTTTTTTTCAATTATTTTTTCATTCGATTTTCAAGAGTGTTGTCCCCTAAATTTATGATCCAAAGTTTTCCATAAGATTATCCACCGTTTTCGTTTGTTTGCTTGGTTTTTGCCGTTTAGTTTGCACTTTAACCTTTCACCCCTACAGGGTCGGTCTGAGACAAGTTGTGGAGCAAACACTAGGGGTCAGACAGAGCGGAAGCGCTCGCTTGGCGGACTTAATTAACGTCTCGGAGGGACAGGCGTATGAATCAGGTGGTGCGTATTTAGCCGATAGCGCTACTGATAAAAAATAACCCCCAACTCAAGAACTTTTTTTAAATTTTTTTTATTGTGTTGGTCTTATTCAATGAAATGAACGTGTAACCAAATTATCCATCTATACATTTAACAAAAGGTGAAATTTTCTTGCTTTAGTTGTTACATTAAAACAAAAATTATCTAAACATGAACTCAATTCAATAACCACACTCAGAAAAGTATAATATTTTTAATTTTAAAAAAAGTTCATATCTCCTTTTGCTCTTCGCCTCGATTCTTCCAATTCTAACTAACATTAGTTAAACCAGAATGACTTAACATTAATATATCATATATCAAAATACCGTATAATCTCCAAACCATTGCTTGACTTGAAATAATAATCATCGATGATATCGATGCGAGGCTAATGATAACCGTATTCTCTTTATAAACGACTGTCAAAGCTAATTGTAGAAGCTCGTCGTTATTTTTAGAGTAGAGGGTCTTTTAAGGCCTAAAAAGCTATCTTGTTATAGGCCTACTTATAAGTACGATTCAATAGAACAGCTGTCAAGTGCATTCTTTATTAAAGTACCAACAACAACAAAAAACAGCCAAAAAAAAAACTGCATGATAAAGACTAATTTTCTCTCAATAAAGTAAGTTTGAACAAAAATAGTTGATTCTAAAGATGGCCTAGATCTTCAGATAAAATAGAATTGTTCCAACACCGTAATCATGTCAAGCTAAGTTATATTTTTTGGTAATACTTTATTTTTTTACGTAACTCAGTAGTTAGAATGCAGGTCAGAAAAATCATTTCTTTGTTATCTCCATTTTTTACTGATATGCATTAACAGCATATTTTGAACCGTAGACCTATGGGCCACTATGGGCTGGCTTAGATGGCTAGTGGTTGGCCAAGAGAAAACAACACCTTTTAATGTATCTTAGAAATTAGTGGCTAGATTACAAAAATATAATGGAATTATTTATTTTTTATTATTATTCTTTTTAAACGAACCATTATTTTCATTGAAGACTGGGTTCAAATTTAAACTGCCCACTTCAAAAGTAAATCGTTAACTGCCCGCTTTCTGGTCACTCTGTGTGTTATTATCTCCCTGTGTTTCATTGGTTGTGGCAGACTTTTACTTCACCCATTCATACTTCATCTCTAGGTATTCAGTAAACCAATGCAAACTGTTGGTTTGTTGCCCTTTATTTGTTTCACGTATATTAACATTCTCCATTTTCCAATCTATGTTCACCCTCCCATGATACCGGATGTTTTACACTCTCTAGTTGAATCTAAAAATGTCAGAGTTCAAGGTTGGTTTTATTTTTGCATTTCATGATTTTTTTTTGTAATAATTGAAATGTTATCTTTTGACCAAAATTATTATTATTTTTTATTGAGTGAGGTATTGAGTAGATGACTAATTGATTCTATTAATCTTGACTAGAGTTAGCCATACAGGCTTATAGTTTAAATCTTCTTTATTTCCTTTATTTTTAATGTAAATAATAGGCTGATAAGAGGCATTTTTTAAACATAAAATAAAGCTTCCATAGAGCATAGGATTTCGATCAAAGTAGCTACCTTTTTATTTTACTTTGAGTGTAATCGTGCATCATTAACTGAACCATTTAATTTCTGAAATAACTGCTTACATAATTTTTTTGCTCCGTACTTGATTCGTAGTTGAAAATAATCCATCTTTTCGATATCATTTGCCAAACAGAAAGTAGTTTTCGCTCAGAGGAAGGTAAAAAAAAACAGTAGCGTTGTCTGATTGAGACAACTGGCTTTATTTGTATCATATCTCAATAAACAGTCAATTATAAGTAGTAGATATACTGTAAAATTACAGAGACACCTAGATAAAAAATATAAACATACCTGATCAAAGGGTGAAAGATACTTGGGGATGCTTTCATTTTGACTGAGACATCTATAACATTATTTACTGTCTATCATGATCAAAATGGCTTACCACTCTAGGTAGAAGTCACATTTTGCATACTGCTTGCTTTCAAATAAATCTGACTGAATTTCCTATCGAAATGCTCAATCCTAGACCCAATCCTAGACACAATATAAGACACAATCTTGGACAGTCACAGCATCAAACTAATATTACTACAAAGTAAATGATTAAACATTATTTTGCTTTTATTGTCTAAAATAACTAACAACAATAACTAACTACATTTTTAATAGTAAAAAGAATCCTATATTATTAATGGCAGTGAGTAAAACCTTTGAGAACATTTTGAAAATGACAATAATAAATAACAAGGGCTAAACAAAGATTTGCCAAAAACATGTTTTTCCTCACAAACATTGAAAGAAAAAAACTATTGACAAATTATAGCATATTCGTACTAAAAGAAAATCTTTCTCCAATTATATTTCAAACATCAAAGACTTTGATCGCACTGTGACTGTAAAACTATTGCACTGAAGGGCTCATCAAACAATGCAATACCTGCAGATGGCTGCCATCAGCATCTACGTAAAGATCCTAGAGCAGATTTTAAAAAGCCATATATATTCCTATTTATAGAGAAGGATCGTCCGTTGTGTAACCATAACATTAATTGGGGGAACGTTTTCTACCGGGTCATTTTTCACAGCAGTTGTTTTTATGTGTGGGAATCCTTTTAACGGAGTCTTTTAACTGAATCTTTTCATTGAGTCTTTTACAAGTAGAAGAAGTTTTATCATGTTTAAATAATCATCTGTAAACATGTAGTTGCGTAGATGATTGGGTATCAACAGATACAATGATGAGATACAGTAATGAGATACAATTTTGAGATACAATTATGAGATACAATCATGAGATACAATCATAAAATACAATCATGAGATAGAATCATAAGATACTATCATGAGACGCAATCATGAGATACAATCAGGAGATACAATCATGAGATACAATCATAAGATACAATCATGAAATTCAATAAATAGATACAATCATGAGATACAATCGTGAGATACAATCATGAGATAAAATAAGGATCTACAATTATGAGATATAATAATGAGATACAATTATGAAATAAAATAATGAGATATAATAATGAGATAAATTGTAGCGTTGTTTTTTTCTTGTTACAATTTCTATTGTCAACTCATCGCTATATGATGTGTGTCAGTTGTTAACAAAATCACGTGTCGTAAAAACTGCTGGTCCATACTCATACTGCTTTAATAAACCGAAATGTTTTTCTCCCTCTTTGACATTCAAATGCTATACAACGCCATGTTCTTTGCTAACACTATATTGGGTTACCTTTGCTAGACTTCATATTATAGAAATGAATGCTTTGCTTAAATAGGGTTAGCAGAACTTGCAGCAGAACTTCACAATACTCTTGTCCATCACCTCGAAAGCGTTTCTTAAATTAATGTCTTGGAGTTCTCCGCTCTTTGTTTACATGTATTTTATTGACCTTCACCTCTGTACCTCTATTCACGCTTTGGTTTCAACTTATTGGTGTTATTATTCTTATAATAATCATTGTTAACTTTGCCGTTACAATGTATCAAATTGACATGTTTTTGTTTTTTTTTACCTACCCCATAAAAACTGCACTACGGTGTTTTTTCCCCATTGTGGTTGTGATTAATGTGAAATTTTCCTTTTAATTTTTTGAAAAACCAGTGTGAAGGTTTTATTACTTTATGTAGAAGCTTTCATTCCATAATGGTTTTCATAAATAATTTATGTTTCATTTTTAGTCCGTTTTTTTTTAAATTTTTGTTATACACATGGGTAATTTGATATGATGTCTGTGAGGTCCCTTTAAAACAGTGTCACTTTTAAAAAGAAAAGGAAAAAACCTCTCATTATATGGTGCCAAAGATAACAGCTCCCTAGTGTGCCATACTGCTTGTTGGTGGCATAAGAAAACCTCTCATTATATGGTGCCAAAGATATACTAGATGGAATGTTTGAACAGCTCCCTAGTGTGCCATACTGCTTGTTGGTGGCATAAGAAAAGACCCTCATCATTTTTAGTTGTATCTATTGTTTTATTTCATGATTTGACTTTGTCACCCGAGGATCAGGCTTATTGATTCTTATTCTGTTTTCTTGTTGTGTGTTAATGGAGTTGTCAGAAATAGGGTTGAATATACAGCTACTTTAGATTATATGCCCTTGATTGTGTCGGTCATTAGATCTATTTGAACACTGCCAAAAATCACGAGCTACTTCCCCCGTGCGTGACGCTACTTGTCAGGTTTGACCTGGAAAACTGATATTCAGTTCCAGATTTAAGGATAGGCAACTGCTTAAATTTTGAAATTATAAAGGACCTCACATTCTATAAGGCCTAGCATCCTATATATGTGGCCTGGCATCCTATATATAAGGCCTGACATTCTATTAGGCATGACATTCTATATAGAATGACATAATATTATAATTAACTAATAATGATAACATATTCATAAATAGGTATATTTGATGAGGGGTGAACCAATCTCTCGAGTGTAGCAGTGCTATTTTTGTGTTAGTTCGTCCTATGTAAAAAAAACCCTCGCTTGGACGGTTTACCGTGTCATCAAATTTCAACTGTTTCTATAATTATAATGTAGCTATGCGATTCTTGGGATTATTTCTGAAATAAAGCCGATAAATGTGATAATTCATTTTTGTTAATGATATGTATTATCGTTTTGTAAGAATGACCTAACTGATTTGACATGCTCATACAATAGATAAAGTATGCTCCTAGCCTTCCCCTTTACTGTTAACATGGCCCTTGACCTCTTGCTGAAGCTATTGATTATTGGCCATTTTTGTTGTCAATGTGCTGCTCAGCTGTTACAGCAAGGTAACGGGCAAACCTTGGAAAAAAAAAAAAAGAAAGAAATATGTTATGCTACATAAATGTATTGGTAGTATTTGTTTCGTAACTATTACTATTTCATTTTGTGAAGGAATAATTGGAGACATTTATTTGAACATGTACACGTCATCTTAAACACCGGCACCTTAACAAACAAACAAAAAAAAGCAGGTAAAACCGTTTTCCAATAATTTACGGAAGATGATGTTTAGAAACTTTGAAACTGTATCATGGAATCGATTCTTCACTTTTTTAATATATATTTTTTTTTGTATACACAATTTTACCTTGGGTGCACTAGAGGTGGAACTTGAGATATTTATATAACTTAAATTAAGTCTATTCCCTTTCTTGTTAAGATAAAACTTTCAATTATCGCACCTTCCAGTTTTAGACACTCACATGTAGTAGGAAGATATTACGTTTAAATCAGCGGTTCTAAACCAGTTATTCATAGATCCCAAATGCTTATGTGAAGCTTACACAAGAGGCTGCTTTAAGCTTCTATCTGAACTACGTCAATGTCGAATGACTAATTGTAGAAGGGTCACTAGACGCTTCACGGTGAAAACTTGGGGGTACACTAATTTCAAAGGGCTGAGAATCGCTGATTTAGATTATTTACTTTATTAACTCTCTATAGCTCACTTTGATGACATCACTGTGGCTTGTTTTTGCATTTCCATGCTATAAGATCATAACAATTGTGTACTATGAAACAACGCATTTCATCTGAGGACGGTTTTTGCTGAGACATCCATCAAATCATAATATGTTGACTATTGTTCATTCATTAGGAGATAGTGCGTGGGGGGCCATGGCCTTTTGCCTGACACAAATCGAGTCCAATGATTGGACAGGAAATGTACCGCAGATTAGGTTCAAATGCGGGGAGAGCATTGCCAATATATGTAGCATGGGGGAAAAGTGTCCTAAATCGGCAATTAGCGATGGCCTCTTAGCCTTCAATTCCTTGTTTCATTTCTTGAATTTTTTTCCTTCTATAATACTGTCCCAATTTTGATAACATTAAATTATGTCAATGTATAACTCTATCGTAGTCCCTTAACAATGTCTAGTATTTGCTATCCTCTCACTGAATCATACCTGTTGCATTATGGGTAGTTTTTCATGAACAGTGCTGCGCCTGACATCTTTGAGTGTCATTTTGACTAGCAGTTTCTAGCAGTTTCAAAGATGGGTTTGTTTTGTTGCTATTTCAAAGAGTATTATGACTCAAAAAAGACCCACACAGTATTAAAAGGTCTATTCAATAGAATAAAATAATGAATTATTCTATTTTTAACTCATTGTTAGAACTATAAAAAGTTTTTGAATGTTTAAAAGAAGTGATTTCTTTCACGGAATTGGATTTATGAAAGATTTTGCCTGAAATAACAGAGCTAAAAATAGAACCGGAATCAGCTCTGGTTTATTTAAGAGCACATAAGGGTGGTCAGGTGCAGTACTTGTGTAGACACTGACCCGCCCAAAATAGCCCATGACATTTCATTGAACGTCCGTACATTTCAATGTTTGACGCCGCCTGCTTTCAGTCCGCAACAGTGTCACCGTATGCAACACCATTAAAGTCTTTCTGTTGAAACAACCCGAGTTGTGTGTCATGTTGCTTGGTTGGGAAACAAAGAGATTCAGTTATATCTGGGGAAAGTTTCTGGTGTGACATTGTGAAGTTCGTTCCAGTGTGTCAGTATAAATGTCAAGTTGAGAGCGGGTCTAGAGTCTACATGCTATGCGCACATAGGCGTGTCTAGAGTCTACAGGCCATCTGCACATAGGCGGGTCTAGAGGCTGTACACACATAGGCGGGTCTAGAGGTTGTACACACATAGGCGGGTCTAGAGGCTGTGTGCACATAGGCGGGTCTACAGACTGTGTGCACATAGGCGGGTCTATATGCTGTACACACAGGCGGGTCTAGAGGCTGTGTGCACATAGGCGAAACTTTTTAATTAAAGTTTTCTTAAAGTTAAAGACATGAATTCAATAGAACGTGTCCATGCTCAGTACTCAGTCTGTATGTCATCTGGATAGATGAAAATAGTGCACACAACTTGATAGATGAAAAGTAGCAGAGACAAGTGATGTTATATGAAAAGTAGCAGAGACAAGTGGATATTATATGAAAAGTAGAAGAAACAAGTGGATGTATATGAAAAGTAGCAGAGACAAGTGGATGTTATATGAAAAGTAGCAGAGAGAAGTGGATGGTATATGAAAAGTAGCAGAGAGAAGTGGATGGTATATGAAAAGTAGCAGAGACAAGTGGATTCCTTAAGAAAATAGCACAGACAACCGAATTAAAGAAGAAAATAGCAGACTCCTGAATTATGTCAGAAAACACATATAACAGGATATTCAATGAGATCAGAATCGACCACAGACTATGAAAATAGAACACAACTATAAAAGAAAACGTGTAGAAGACCTAAAGACATTACCAATCCTAATGAAGACTCTCTAAATGAGACACGAGAGGCTCTCTGCAGGACCACTACGGTATTTGAACCATGGCTTTACACTCAATGTTCACGCATGTTACACATAGTGATGGATTGAATGCATCACGCCTACTTCCTCTTATTGATATTTTGCTATTTCCGCCCAGCCAATGGCGTGTAATTTCAATTGTATTCTCACAGTCCAGCATGGATGTTATGTTTTTTGTTTTTTTTTCAATGTCAATTTTTAACTTTAATTTTGTTTAATCCCCCCCTCCGCCCCGCCCCACCCCCGCCCCATACATTATTTAATTTATTTCGCTTTCTCTAAAACAGCTGTCAGCTTTACATTATGTTCAGATGTGAACTTTTTAATGTTTCTTTGTTATAGCTATCAGCGACGTCACTTCCTACTTTTTACGAAATCATGACGTCATGACTCTATTTTTTTTAAATCTGCTATGGATGACACCGAAATCCGAATAAATCACCACTATTATATCACATTTTGTCCTTCTATATATTGACCACATAACTTGACAGTAATTTATGCTAATTTGGAGAGATGTTCTTTTACGGATTTGTTGTCTATGTTGCAGTCTACTACTACTAGCATTCATTCAAACAAGTGTAAACAAACAACAACCAACAAAAATAAATTATAGTTTCTTTTTTAAACTTGGGTTACTAAATGCAAAAAATAAAATAGAGCTTCTTTTGCTTTTTAATGAGTAGGCCTAGTATGACTAACATTACCGCCCTTTAAAACATATTAACCAACGCTTTGTAATGGATTGCTTTCCTTAACTAATGTTGTGGCATGTCATTGCTCTCCCATGTTAACCCATAAACAAGGTCTTGCATTTATCCTTGTTTTTCAAATACGTTAATTAAAAGACGTGTCTTTTTAAATGTTAGTTTATGTCATTTATACAATTACTTTTTACTCTCTATACTGGTGTCCCTTATGTTTAGTTATAAAATTCAGTAAAAATTTACTTTCATAAAAATATTAATTTCCTCCTATCATTTAAATTGTTTTCTTTAAATGCGTCTCATTCTTTATCTGCTCCTTATCACAAATGTCAATTTTGTCAGATATTAAATTGTATTAAATTTACTAGGCCCTAAGGGTTGTTTAAATAAAATGGTGTTCAATTAACAATGAAAGAAAAGATCAAGGGGCACAATCATGCATGTCTGTTCATAGTGGGTAAAAACATTTCATGAGGTCTCTCAAAATGGCGCATTTACATCAGTAATTTTATTTGATCCCTTTCATCTTTATACTCTCACATTTTTATGTATAGTATTAGAAAGCTTTACTTGTATTTATTTGATCTAATTGTCCATAGCATGACCAGTCAATACTTTTTACAAAATAAATATTATAATATCGGTACGTAAAATCAATGTTTTTATCAATAACTGTTTATAGTTATTGTGTTTATACTTTGTCAGCTCATTACTATCATCTCAGTAGTTTTTATATGTAACTTTTTAGGACAATATAAGATTTATGAAACCTTATATTAAAGGCCCAATACTAAATGCACTATTTTAATCTAAATGTAAAAAAAAAAAATTTAAGTTATGACATGTAACAATTTTTAAATATTATTTTTTTAAATTTCTGTATTAAGTTATTAAGTAAAAAAAAAATAACTTTTCAAATATGCTCATGTCATGTTAATTATATATTTTTATATTTTACAATCATAAAAGTTAAATATAATTTCTAATACTAACTACTGTCAAATGTTATTATGAAAGTGGTTTCCAAGCACAGAGTCAGCACATGCAATGATCATGAAATATAGTGTTATCTTTCCCCTTGCATTGTCCACAGCTGACTCCCAGCTGTCCATGAAGATGATGAGGGGTGAGGTCTCTGCTAAGACCACCTACCAGAGGACAGCCAATGGGCCTGTCAGCATCGCGGAGGCTAACCCAGAGGGCAAATTTATCTTGCTGGAAAACAACCCATCTGGAGGAGTCAGAAAGGTAAACGTGTGTGCAGAGGTGTATAAATACTGCACAACTGGGAATAGAACTGTACAAATGCTGCACAACTGGGAATAGAACTATACAAATACTGCACAACTGGGAATAGAACTTTACAAATACTGCACAACTGGGAATAGAACTGTACAAATACTGCACAACTGGGAATAGAACTTTACAAATACTGCACAACTGTGCTCTGATTTGTACACTGCTCTCTAACAGTGAAATCTGCATGTTGTAAATGCGCTGTAACAAAATGGCAATCAGAGCTTTAACCATTTGCATAGATAGTGTGTATAGTATAATGCTATATTTGTTTGACTACTAAATTTATACATTTTACATATAATGTGTATAAATTTTAAAGCTACACATTTTTTCAATAGACTTAAAACAAGTTCCTAATCCCATATTCAGACCTGTTTACTCTTACGATTTTGGCGTACAATGTACGATTTTAAGGTGTATAGATTGTATATATAGCATGGGTTTTTTTTACTATGAATATAACGTATTAAATGACATTGTAATGATATTGTACGATTTTAAGAGTTTGAGGGTAAACAGGTCTGCATATTCCTCTGTTTATTAAAAAAAACTGGCCTACTAATAGTAACTACTAATGATGGCAAGGTTTAGGACACTGGCCATAGTTTGAAGAGCCTTGATCTAAGTCTAGTCTGGGATTGAATTATTCATTTTGTGTTAAAAATAAGTTTTTGTATAGTTAAGGTACACTAATTAAGAATAATTATTTTGTTTATGTGATTTCCAGGAGATGAACTTGGACGGCTGGAAGATCCGCCGTATTGTTGACAAGAATCTGAGCAGACCGTATGAATACACATTCAGGAACTTTGTCCTGAAACCAGCCAAGAGCGTCAAGGTAAGATAGAGTAACAACGCTAATGACGATAAGATCAACAGATAAGACCTTTAATATAAAATACCTGGAAATAAAGCAGACCCCTTAAACTGAAGCAAAAGTGGTGCTATTTGCAGGGATCTTGCTATTTCAAGGTTCACCATTTCCAGGTTTAACTGTACCGATACCAAAGTAGGAACCTTGGCATACTTTATTTTTGATAAAGTCTACTTTTCAAATAGTTGATGAAACGTTTCTGTAGCTTCATCAGTTCAAAAAGCTTTTTAACCCTATTTTCTAGCTTCAATATAAAGATAGAGCGGGTATTGGAAGATTTCAAATATTAAGTTATGTGCAAACGAGAGCTGTTATCTTAATATCTGCTTGTTCAAGACGTCTAAATTTGTATGGGGGTAGATGCAAAAACAAATTTTTAAAAAACTCTTCTGTGGTACTTGTGGAGAATGTGGACAAAATAAGTTCTCAAAGGTTATACTAGTACCAGATAACTCCCGCATTTAATCTACACCACAGACTTAATCCCCCTGAGATGTTTTGTTACCAAATGGCAACTGATTTTTTACACTTAGATTTTAAGACTTAAGTTTTAACACTTAGATTCTTTTTGTTAAAATGTTTTAACACTTATTTATGTTAAAATCATGAAGTATATTTTTTAACGTTTCTGAAATTTGTTAATAGATAATATGACTTTACACATTTTTCTGCCAGATTTTTGCCAGATCACTGGCCTCTCAGGCTGGACCCAATGACCTTGTCTTCCGTGATGCTGACACATGGGGTGCTGGTGCCGAGGTTGTGACATCTCTCATCAATGAGAAAGGGGAGGTAAGGCTTATAAATTTACCAGACACATTAGGCTTTTGTATGTTATGTATACGATAATATACAAAAGCTATATACATAAATACATATACATAAATTGTACAGAAATTGATCATCATGATATAGGCCTATTTACCTTAGCCATAAATAATCATTATTAAAGTATATTTTTATTTAAAGTTTTTTTTAGAAATCAATGCAAATATGAAGTATTTGATACTTTTTTTTTCCCACAGTTATTCAACTGTGAAGTTTTAAAATATATCAAAAGCAATGATAAAAAAATTAGTCAAAAATTATGTTCAAATCCTTGCCACTACAGTGCAATAAATGTATCCTCCTTAAGATTGCAGCAGAGTTTTATGATGGAACTAATTACCATGATAACTGTTTGCTTCTTTTACCCTCCAGGAAAAAGCCAGCCACATCCAGAAGACCAACTACACCCAGTAGACCTAGGAATTGCTAAGACTAAATGTCATCTTCACTCAATCAGTTAGCTCCTCCTTGTGTTTATATATAAATATATATTATTAATTGCAGCTTTTTATCTCACATTCCATTGTTGGCTATCCAAGATCATGTCACTTCCTGTCATCCTCCCATGATCTTGACTTTTTAACAGAAAATTCTTTAAATGTTTATCTTTTTTAAGACAGTTTTAAAATAATAAGCAAATAGAATTTGGTCTTAAAAATGTAATTTATTTAGTGCTTCTTGAACTTTGTTCAAAAGTTTGTTCTCAAATATCCAATTTGAGAAACAATGATTTAATAAGTTCAAAATTATGGCAGTTAGTTTAGCTTCCATGACACAATGTCCATCACAAAATGTTAACAGAAATCACATTTTTAACAAAGTCAACAATGACTTTTTTATCTGTTGTAAGCCATCTTCACTATTTTGCCAGTAGTTAGTGCATTCCCCCCACCCCCCTTTTGGCATATGTAATCATTCTAATAGTCATTAGCTGTGAAAGGTGTACTTTTTATTTGTTTATTTGGTCTATTTATAACCATGTCCTAGCAACGATGTATTTCCAATCAAGTCTCTTCAATTAATGCTTATCTAAGATAATGCTTATCTAAGACATGTATGAAAGGATAATATGTATTTTTATGTTATTTTTTAGGCTAGAGTCTGATAACTGAATGGTCATTAAAACATGTGGACAAATGCAACTTTAGCATTAATTTACTTGTTGAGTTAATCATACACTTCATATGTGTATAGCCTTAATTTGTGATCATAGATAATACATGGCCGTTGTAATATGTGGAAAGACTTAATAGATAAGTGTTAAACCATTCCAAGATAAAGGGACCGTGATTTTCAAAGTTGACAACATTATATAATATATAGTTTCATACAATTTTTTTTTTTTTTTTAAATCACTAAAAAAATTTAAAGAATTTGAAAAGAAAAATAAAGAAATATTTTTTTAAAATAAGTTTTGAATACAAATAAAATTTAATTTTTTTCCCTTACATTTAATTATATAAAGGGACCGTGATTTTCAAAGTTGACAACATTATATAATATATAGTTTCATACAATTTTTTTTTTTTTTTTAAATCACTAACAAAATTTAAAGAATTTGAAAAGAAAAATTAAGAAATATTTTTTTAAAATAAGTGTTGAATACAAATAGAATTTAATTTCTTTCCCTTCCATTTAATTAGGCTGAAAATCTATGTTTAATTATTGAAAGGTCAGGTGTAACATTTAAGAAATGAGTGGATTCTTCAGCTTTTATTTTGTTGGCTTAATTTGGTGATCTTTGCATATTAATTCCTGCCTGCACAATACAAAGCTTTATTAAAAAACAAAATCATAACTTTTTAAAATTAAAAATTTTTTTTTGTGTGTTAATAATCAAGGCTTATTATTGTACATTTTTCCCACTTCTCACGGTTCGGATTTCGTTTCTTTTCACATTGTACTTTTCGAATATTTCGGAAAAGAAAACTAGCTATTCTTGGAAAAATAAAGTGTTTGAACCAAGTTGCTGATAAGAGTGTGTTATTGTACTATCACTATTTTGGTGTTTTTAAATTTTTTAACTTTATACAGGTTTTAAAATAACAACTTTTTTGTATTACTTTTTTAAGCTATCACTACCGTCAATAAATATGTTGTTTTTTCAATTTGGAATTAAAAGCATGAGTTTCTTAATCTAACAACAGTGAAAACCTCTTCATACCAATGAATAGTGACCTTAAGTACCTATGAATCTATTTGCATTTTATTAATAAATTATTTCATCCTTTCTATAAGTCAAAACCACCAGTTCAATAACCTCTAAACCAAAAGGCGCTCATTGGAAAGAGCTTATCAAGTGTGTCCAAACTTTTTTCTGTAACAGAAATGTAAGTCCATGAACCATGAAAGTCTCTGCACTACTTAGACATCTGCTTTATCTCATATATAAAGTTTTTATATATATATATATACAACCTTCTATTTTGTTAACTGCTTTGTTTCATAGAAAATGATCATAACAAGCAATGTAGTTCAATCAGATTTTTCAGCACTGAAATACAATTTCCCAGCCAGGATGTTGTTGTTTTTTTTCAAACAAAAAAATTTTTTAAGGAGTTGAAAATACATTTGATTTGTTAAATATTAAATGAGTATTTTGGTTGTTTTTTAAAACATTTTTAAAACCACACTGGTCTGTGTCTAACTGTAATGATGATAAAAACATGAACAGTATATAATAGTAATTGATGTAAAGCCCAAACATTTACTAGGAGCAAAAGACTAGTATTGATGATGTGGCCATGTGACATTATTTTTATTTTGAATTTTTATGTTACAAATTTTGTATGTTTACTTTGATGACTAACAGGAAAAGTAAGCAGACAACAAAAAGCATGTGAGTGTTAGGAATGTTCAATTCTATAGAGCTTAATTAATTGGTTACGTTGAATGGTGGAGAAATGGAAACACATTATTTTCTTTTAAACTTAGTGGCTGGTACATTGACTTATTAAACTTATTATATTTTTTTGCTTTGACTTGGCTGTGAGCTATCAAATTAGATGAACTGAAGCCTGGTGCTAATGTTAGTACAAGATCAATGATTTCTCTTACTTCATTCGTGTATCAAATTTTATAATAAATAAATGAGATTATTGAAACTTTCATTTCATTTGTTTGTGTATTGTGAACAAGTACATGGCTTTTTTTTTTTAAATTTGTCTGGACAACTCTATTTTTCAAAGTTATTGTAGTTATTTCAAGTGACTGAAGCTGAAGTTATTGTAGTTATTTCAAGTGACTGAAGCTGAAGTTATTGTAGTTATTTCAAGTGACTGAAGCTGAAGTTATTGTAGTTATTTCAAGTGACTGAAGCTGAAGTTATTGTAGTTCTTTCAAGTGACTGAAGCTGAAGTTATTGTAGTTATTTCAAGTGACTGAAGCTGAAGTTATTGTAGTTATTTCAAGTGACTGAAGCTGAAGTTATTGTAGTATTTTTGACAAGTTTTTTGGGGAATTAACATTTTGTCTGATCTTTTCAAGTGATTGTAGCTGCAGGCTGTCTGAGGATCTTTTCAAGTGATTGTAGCTGCAGGCTGTCTGAGGATCTTTTCAAGTAACTGTAGATGTAGCTGCCAAAAGATTTGTCAAAGTCATTGAGTACCGTACAATGCTCAGCTTTTTTATATTTGGCTTTTGGGCGATTATATTATCAATGCATTAGCCTTCCTAAAAGCACATAATGGCGGAATCAAAGATCTATAATTTAACAAAGGACCTTGACGGCTTGTAACGAAACATGTGGGTTACAATTACAGTGTATGCGCTCACTGCTACCTGGTGTATGGGCCCAAATTTACCTGGTGTATGGGCCCAAAGCTATGTAGTGTATACACTCAAAACTAGCTGGTGTAAAACAAAGCAATCAATTTTATGTGAAAGCTTTTGTGAAGGCGTAGTTCAAAGTAGACAAAATTCACAACTTCAATTTACTGTAACTATCAAACAGCATGATCTCGTGCGTAGATACTGGCCTTCCATAGGGCGCCACCAGATAGGAAAATAAAATACCCGGGGTGGACCAACATCAGAACCTACTTGTATGGCTTGGAAACCTTACCCGAAAATTAAGGCAGCTACCTTAATAACGTCACTTTGGAGATGGTGTCGGTGGGTCGTCGAGTTTGCACTCATAATACCCCCCCTCCCCCGGCACTCCCCCATACGGGCCAGGGTTGGGATTTTTTGGCTTGGGGGGGGGGGGGGGAGAGGGAGGGGGACCCCCTACTAGTCGTCCACGCCGCGAAGAGGCACAATCCCATATGGCACCACCTTCGGTGGTGTTGCTCCGTGGCCTAGAGGCGTTCGGACACAATCATCGCAAACTACTCCTTTCTACTAGAATGGTTAATTAATGGTTAATAATGGTCAAGTTCTTTCACACGTTGAAATTAATGAAATACATCGTACTAATTTTGAATCACAATAAATGTAACTTAAATATCTTAGTATTAACTTAACACAGGCTGTCAATTCCATAAACATCAACATCTGGCGCCGCTCGCTAGCAGGAAGCAATCAAACACATCCTATCTCCACAAAGTTCCATTCACGACCTCCAGGCGCATAAAACGTACGTCACTAAACAAATGAGACCAGGCCTGAACTGAACAACTCCAAATGTAAGGCGGGCCGTAATACTTTATGAAAAACTTGTGCGGGCCAAGAGAAAATAGGACGGGGGGGGGTGGACTATTAAGAAAATAATAATAATGAAGAATATTTCGTCACTTCGCAGGCCGCAAAGTGTTTAATGGCGGGCCGTAATGTTGTGCAGGCCTGGACTTGTGTGCAGGCCTGGACTTGTGTGCAGGCCTGGACAAGACAATGAGCATAAAAATACGTCAACAAGTCAAGCGCGGGAAGAGAATAAAACTCTCCAACACACACCGCCCGTAATGAAACATAATATTGAGCCGCAACAATAATTCTTATTGAACTCCCATGCTCGCCAGATCCCCGCTCTACCATTTCAGAGATAACTCAAGGGGTTAAATCGACACCCACACAAAAAATCCACAGGATCATCATCAATCAGAGACCATTAGCCAAAGAAAATTATTTAGTATCTCTGGAAATCTAGCACATTAATGGTATGATTTAATAATCTTAGTTATTGTTACAAATTCATAATGGATATTGGTGTAATTTGCCCTGAGAGGGGAAGATCTATTGGGAATAATAATTATTTTAATGTAGAATTTCGTTGATATTAAAAGAAGTTTTTATTGTTGAAATTCATTGCTCTGATTTTCTTTATATAGAGTTGTACATGAATTTTAATCCTTGAATTGTGATTAAATTATGAACGAATGATTGGATTTATTGTTTGTGGTGCATCAATACTCTGTATTTTAGGGTTTAACTTTCACTAGAAATTTAAATTGTATTTAAAAAAAAACATTTTTACAGATGGATTGTCTGGCATTTCGAATGAAAGTTAAAGATAAAAGAAAGATTGAAAACATCCTATATTGTTGGTCCTTCACTTACAAAGATGACCAAAGTTATATTCCATGGTGAATCTGCAAATGAGCGACGACAAATTTGAGTGTACATTATATCAAACTAACATCAGATCAAAGCCACCAAATCCTTATGCAGTTCGTGATGCTCTCCAGGCCGAGATGATTGAAATGGAGAATCTAGGTGTTATCCGCAAAAGCGCATCACCTTATGCATCACCCGTTGTTATAGTGAAGAAGAAGGATGGATCAAACCGAGTCTGTGTTGACTATCGAGGCCTAAACAAGATTACTGTTTTTGATCCAGTACCAGTGACGTCACCGAACGAAATATTTTAAAACACTTCAAAAGCTAAATATTTCAGCAAAATTGATCTTAGCAAAGGATATTGGCAGATTCCCGTTGAACGTGGGGACATCCCAATGGTCATTATGAGTTTTTGAGAATGTCATTTGGAATGATGAATTCAGGAGCGACGCTGATTCGGGCAACTCTACAACTTCTAGAAGGAATGAGAAGCGTGGTTAGCTACGTGGACGATTTGCTTATCTACACGCACACTTGGAAGGAACATTTAGTGACACTGGCGGAATTATTTAATCGATTGAAATTGTGCAATCTGACTGCGAGGCCCACCAAATGCGTATTTGGGGCCGTCGAGGTGGACTTCGTGGGACACAAATTATCACTGGGAACACTAGGGCTACAGGAAGACAACGTTAACAAAGTCAGGCAGGCTCCGAGACCAACTACGAAAAAGGAGGTCCGTTCCTTCCTTGGTCTCACGGGGTACTACAGGGACTTCGTACCAAACTATGCGACCCTCGCATCCCCATTGACGGCCCTGACTAAAAAGGGTCAACCAGACAAAGTAAAATGGGGAGACGACCAGGAAAAAGCGTATGACGCCCTGAAAGAAGCGATCACCACACGTCCAATCCTACGCATCCCAAATATAGGTAAATCATTTGTTTTAAGGGCCGATGCATCGGATGCGGGCCTTGGAGCTGCCCTGCTTCAAGAAGGTGATAAGGGGGTACTTCATCCCGTTGCTTTCGCTAACAAGATGCTATTGGAAAGAGAGACCAGATATTCAACAATCGAGAAGGAGTGTCTGGCAAGAGTGTGTGCCGTAAAGAAATTTGAACTATATCTTTACGGAAAGCAGTTCATTTTACAAACCGACCACCAGCCATTACAATACCTTAGCACGGCTCGATTCATCAGCGCCAGGATTATGAGATGGGCTATGTTTCTACACAGCTACAGCTTTTGTCTGCAGTCCATCGCTGGGGCGAATAATGAAGAGGCAGACTTTTTAAGTAGACTTTGCTGTTAAATTACTGAGTTTTATGAGATTTTATGTTATGGTGAGAGTCGACTTAAAAGTATATTTTTAATTATTCCTCGATATTTGGTGGGTGTGAAGAAAACATGGATTTACGAGGATAATGTAGTTTCAAAGATTGGGTTGTGTATGCTATTTTATGGTCAACTTACTTTGTTTTATTATTGGTTACTATGTCTATAACTGATGATATTTTGGACGACGTTTAGAGTAGAGACCACGAGCTCAGGCGGCGCAGTAGGAGGGGAATAGTCATTTGTTTTGGGGAGTTTGGAAATTCGTCAGTTTTTGAAAAAATTCTTGAAGGGAGGACATATGTCACAAATGACTGGAGTGGGGTGTAACAGTGGCGCTCCATTGCTTTTTCATGTAATTTATAATGTGTTTCTTCGGAATTTCCCGTTATGTGGCACCAGTTTTACTTAATAAAAAATGAGGGGGGTGCGATTTCCGGGAGAGGAAAGAAATGTTTTTGAAGTTAAGGGGCGTTGAAGATTAATGAATATTTTGGAAGTTGGAAAGCGTTGAAGACTAATGGATGTTAACGGTTTGAAAAGGAACAAAATTAGACTGTATTGGATCTATGAATATATTCTTTCTTTATAGTTGTCAATGAGGAACTTATTGGTCATTCTTTGAAGTCTGTGTTGTCTTCGTTATATTTCCCCAACATCTGGATACTGCACTTGTCCCAGAGAAGAGCAACCCCTGCATCAACCAACACCAATACTACTTGATACGCAACGGGCGATACCTCATACGACCATCATTTAATCAGTGACACATGTGAAGATGACCAGTGCTTAGCTAATCATGTGAAGATGATATAACAAGAAACTGTCAATGTGCCTAGCCAATCATGTGAAGATGAACAGGGCTATTTACAACAAGAAATGGTCAATGGGCCTAGCCAATCATGTGAAGATGACCAGTGCTTAGCCCATCATGTGAAGATGACCAGTGCATAGCCAATCATGTGAAGATGACCAGGGCTATACAACAAGAAATGGTCAATGTGCCCAGCCAATAATGTGAAGATGACCAGTGCCTAGCCAATCATGTGAAGATGACCAGGGCTACATACAACAAGAAATGGTAAATGTGCCTAGCCAATCATGTGAAGATGACCAGGGCTATATACAACAAGAAATGGTAAATGTGCCTAGCCAATCATGTGAAGATGATCAGGGCTATATACAACAAGAAATGGTCAATGTGCCCAGCCAATAATGTGAAGATGACCAGTGCCTAGCCAATCATGTGAAGATGACCAGGGCTATATACAACAAGAAATGGTAAATGTGCCTAGCCAATCATGTGAAGATGACCAGGGCTATATACAACAAGAAATGGTAAATGTGCCTAGCCAATCATGTGAAGATGACCAGGGCTATATACAACAAGAAATGGTCAATGGGCCTAGCCAATCATGTGAAGATGACCAGTGCCTAGACAATCATGTAAAGATGACCAGTGCCTAGCAAATTATGTCAAAGTGACCAGTGCCTCGCCAATCATGTCAAGATGACCAGTGCCAAGCCAATCATGTCAAGATGACAAGTGCCTAGCACTTCATGTCAAAGGGACCAGTGCCTAGCCAATGATCTCAAAATGACCAGTGCCTAGCCAATCATGTCAAGATGACCAGTGACTAGCCAATCATGTCAAGATGACCAGTGCCTAGCCAATCATGTAAAGATAAAAAGTGCAAAGCCAATCATGTGAAAATGACAAGTGCCTAGCTAATCATGTCAAGATGACCAGTGCCTAGCTAATCATGTGAAGATGACCAGTGCCTAACCAATCATGTCAAGATGTCCAGTGCCTAGCCAATTATGTCAAGATGACATGTGCCTAGCCATTCATTTAAAGATGACCAGGGCGTAGCCAATCATGTTAAGATGACCAGTGCCTAGCCAATCATGTCAAGATGACCAGTGCCTAGCCAATCATGTGAAGATGACAAGTGCCTAGCCAATCATGTGAAGATGACCAGTGCCAAGCCAATCATATCAAGATGACCAGTGCCTAGCCAATCATATCAAGATGACCAGTGCTCAGCTAATGTCAAGATGACCAGTGCCTAGCCAATTATGTCAAAATGACCAGTGCCTAGCCAATCATGTCAAAATGACCAGTGCCTAGCCAATCATGTCAAGATGACCAGTGCCTAGCCAATCATGTCAAAATGACCAGGGCCTAGCCAATCATGTCAAAATGACCAGGGCCTAGCCAATCATGTCAAGATGACCAGTGCCTAGCCAATCATGTCAAGATGACCAGTGCCTAGCCAATCATGTCAAGATGACCAGTGCCTAGCCAATCATGTCAAGATGACCAGTGCCTAGCCAATCATGTCAAGATGACCAGTGCCTAGTCAATCATGTGAAGATGACCAATGCCTATCTAAAATTGTGAAGATAACCAGTGCCTAGCCAATCTTGTGAAGATGATTAGTGTCAAGCCAACATGTGAAGATGACCAGTGCCAAGCCAATCATGTGAAGATGACCAGTGGCTAGCCAATCATATCAAGATGACCAATCATGGCAAGATGACCAGGGCCTACATATCAAGTAAAAATGACCAGTGGCTAGCCAATCATGTCAAGATGACCAAGGCCTTGTTAATCATGTCAAGATGACCAGTGCCTAGCCAATCATGTCAAGATGAGGAGTGCTGTATACAAGGGTGAAACAGGTACTGATCATGCAGAATTGAGACAGTTCTAAAACTGTGCTATTCATTCCCCGGGAAAAAAACAACTATTAAAACCAATTTATTATTGAATTTATTTCTAACATAAACGTTGGAAGACAAATACCATATTACTGTACACAAAATTTGAGCTTAGCAAACAGCAAATGCTTTTCTATCCTAGAATGAACCCTGTTGCTGAAAGCAGAAGATGAGTTGGATCATTTTACCAACTGTGTGGCAGTCAGTAAAGTCACTGTCTTGGGCTCAAAGTCCATCTTTCAATTATTCTTCTGTCCGCCTCTATCTGGAGGTGTTGCAGATATGGTTGGCTATTAGCCAACACATCAAAACTCAAATTACACATTTTTGAACTTGTTGACTTCGAGGGTGTCCTTAACACAGTCAATCCACAGCTGGTGTGGTCTTCTTCATGCCTTGAAACCAGAGTGCCTGATTTTGTAGGCTTGCAATGTAGGTTGATTGACAAGTAACCAGATGGCCAAACCAATTAACTTGCTGCTAGGCCATAGCGTGGCTCATGGTATGGCACCAACCATGTTTCTCATTTTCTGGCTTTTAATGTGCATTTTACAAGCTGTTCACATTAAATGAAACCTCATTTCATCAAAGCCCATCTTGACATGTTATCAACAATCTTGACCTGAACAATGGTACAACAAAAATAAACTAGAAGGCAGCTTAAAATTACAGATATCTGAAAGAACAAGAAAACAAAAGCACTTTTGCAAAAATCTATTCATTTTTATTTCATAACATTATATATAAAGAATAACTTGTTTCATTTCCACCAAAAATCATACACAAAAAGCACACTCCAATAAGACAATGGTACAGTTGAAATCCTAATGAATGAATGGTGTCATGGGGAATGAATGTGTCCTAAACAAGTCAGTCATTTGTGGATAAATGATGTGTCTCAATTATATAGGGAAAATGTCAATAATTTCTACATGACAATTTTAAATTGGCTCAGCCAACCCTGCATATGAAACCATGCCTATGTGTAGCCAACCCTGCATATGAAACCATGCCTGTGTGTAGCCAACCCTGCATATGAAACCATGCCTGTGTGTAGCCAACCCTGCATATGAAACCATGCCTGTGTGTAGCCAACCCAGCAGATGGAACTATGTCTACCTATGTCTATGTACTCACTTCCTCTAGTTGATTGTCAGCCAACATTTTACAGTAAACAAAAAATGTGACCTTTAAATGTGACCTTTTCCTTCTAGAAAAAGTTGAACTTTTGAAAGCATAAAGTGAAGTCAAGCCACATCAACATTAGAAAATATATACTGTTTTTACAAAATTGAAAAACACTAAATAAACCTTGCTTGGTGACTGAACAATATGGAAGTCAACTTCCTAGATAAAATTATCTTTACTTTAACATACCAGTAACAACAAAGTTGATACATTGTCTAGTTTAAAAAAAATAAACTGTTAAAGATATTAATTATAATTTTAATTTATAATATAAGTGCTGGTATGGAAACAAAATGTATCTTTTGATATCTTATATTTATTACCATATTCCTTTCTATTCATCGGACATTAAATGGAGAAAAAACACCAACAGTTTTTGCAACAACATTGACCTAATAATCTCTTCTGCTCTTTCTAATTATTCAATTAAAAAAAAATAATGCCTTCTAAATTAATAAAGAATAGTTGTTTTTTTATTGATTATTTTAGAATACACCATGACCTCCATCATGAAACTCCATATTTTCCCTGCAGAAACAACTGTCGGAACAAAGTTTACATCACCAATTTGCTGATCAGAAGTCTGCTAAAGGGTCAGCACCCCGTCCTTGTTTCATTTGAGACTCGTAATAAGCTTTGGATATTGTCCTCTTCATATCATCATCGCCCTCATCGTACATGTTCTTCAACAATTTGGTTATGCCAATGCTGGGATCATCATTATCCTCTAATTTGGGTCTGGGGAAACAAGATGGTGAATGATTTAATGATTTAATGTACATAGGTTATGGGGAAATAGCTCTAATGAAAGGAAATCGATTCATATCTCTGTTTCTATCTGTGTTTAATATTCTTTGATAATGATTAATGGGGAGTGAAATTTGCTCAATTTTTTTGAATGCCATTATGTCTGATGCCGGAGAGAATCCACCTTTAGATTGCAAAACCAACACAGACTTACTTGATGGATTAAAATAAAGCAATTATTTCAGAGATATTCCATGTGCTAGTAGTGACAGTATTAGCTCTAGCAGTGATGACGACATAAAAGTCAGATATTGACATATTAGTCATATTATTACAGACAAATTTGTTTGGAAAAGGTTGGTGATCAATCAGAAAAGACAAAGATAGGATCCAAAATACCAACTGTTATAGCCTGTGAGTTGACCTAGTTTTTCTTCATCACGACCCATGGCATTCAACCTTACCTCCATCCCAATTTGTTTTGTCAACTATTAAATTTAACCCCCCCCCCCTTTCTCCCCTGATTGGGAAAAGGTTGTTTATGTTCTTATTTGTTCTAAAGAATGCTACCGGGTGATGCAATTTCTGTTAGGGGGGTTTTAACTCCCTCCCAATAAATAAGCCAGCAGCTTCCCCAGCCATAACAGATATTTTTGCTAGATTTCCTATTACAAGACTTAATATGCTTATAAGAGCCTTACAAGACTTTACTCTGGTGTGTATACCAGAGGGCTCATCAATATTTGTATTTTTCAAGGATTATACTTTTTCACTTGCTGTGCTGTAAGTTAAAATAGTTATTATTTTTGTATATTTAATTTTGACTTTGTATATAAATTTTAAACTGAATACTGTTAATATAATTAGCTTTCATATGGTTTTTATTTGTATGCTGGTGTTCAATCCTTAATTAAGTATTGTTCACCTAACCAGCCAAATCATAAAACGGATTAAACTTGCATAACCAAATAACAGTAAGTAACACTTACCCTGATGAGTTTCAAAGACATTTATGCTCTGGAGTATTAATTTTTTTTAAAAAATGTATTTAATAACTTTAACTAAAAGGAATTTTTTAACTCATTTTGTGTTTCCCCCCTTTTGTCAAATGTAGACAGACATTTGTCAAATGTAGAAAGACATTTGAAGGTAGTGAATGAACAATAGTAACCAAAATACCATTTTTCAAAATATTTTGTGATATTTTGGTATTTTCTGAAAGGATATTTCATTTAATATCTAAAAAAAAAGGAACTGAAGTAATGATAGAAAGAACAAAAAAGTGAGATTGGGTTGAATGCAAAAGTTTAGCAATAAAATTTTTAGTCACCATATCAATGTCAACATATATAAAAAAACAAAAAAAACAAATTCTTTACATACCATAAGATTAATATACTTTGCTCAATGTACTTTTATAAAATGTATACTTGTAAGGGTCTCTGTATTCATCAAGTCTGGGATTTTGTCTTTTTTGGGGGGAAATGCTAAAAATGGCTTGACACTACAGAAAAATGCATTTGACAGTTACAGAGACAACTTTATGGGTCAAGTTACAGCCTATTTGCTGGCGCCAAGATGACCAGATATTTTAAAACATGGTAAGCAGCCAATGAGGTTTTTCAATCTGGATTGAACTTAGTGTTGAATAGCTCCATTCCTTTTATTTGCCCATACCTGGTAACCAACAATGACTAATTAAAAAATCGCAACCAAAAGGATCAAAAGGTTGTGTGAATTAAGACTGAGAGCTTCATTCAGTTGACAGAGTGAATTAAGACTGAGAGCCTCATTCAGTTGACAGAGTGAATGAAGACTGAGAGCTTCATTCAGTTGACAGAGTGAATTAAGACTGAGAGCTTCATTCAGTTGACAGAGTGAATGAAGACTGAGAGCTTCATTCAGTTGACAGAGTGAATTAGGACTGAGAGCTTCATTCAGTTGACAGAGTGAATTAAGACTGAGAGCTTCATTCAGTTGACAGAGTGAATTAAGACTGAAGCACCATACAATTAGTTGTTTGACCGAGTGAAAAATTGAGCAATAATTAGATTGAGTACATAATCAATCAGTTGTATTATTGGTATTAAAATAACTTACTTGTTCTTTTCTTTCACTTTCTTTTCTCGTTCTGTCACCCACGGCCATGTTTTACCAACTTCATTTTTCTTTAACATCACCAGAACGTAGTCAGACTTTTTCTGCATGCATTGAACAGAAAATACAATATATGGTATTAAACAGAATAGAAAAGACAGAAAGAGTTTTAAGTGAGACAATTCAGCAACACGAAGTGATGTTCAAAACTGTTTTAATTCAGTATAAGAGAGTTTAGAGACATTACTGTAGATATTACTGAGCACTGCGGCTTGTCAATTACAATCTGGAACTTATCCCAGATGAACTCAATCTATCCACAAAGTCTTACCATTTGAATGCCCTTCTGACCAAAAAAAAAGAACAAGATACCTTCAGTCCACACTTGGTGTGTTAAACGTGGCAACATTTGGTGTGCTACGAGTAGCAGTACTCACCTTACAGTAGCTCTCTTTTGGTATAATGTCCTCACAAAGTCTGGCTATGTGCAGTGTGCTGACTCTGTTGGGGAACTGTATTCTGACTGTCACTGACCTAGATGAGATAAGACTTAACTCTGAGAAAAGTTTTTTTAATTACAATAAATGGAAACAAAGAGTATGTCAATAAAAGATAAATAAAGAGTAGGTCATTAAAAGCATTCCTTGCTTACATATGATGTATTTTAATAGCATTCCTTGCTTACATATGTATTTTTAGTAACATTACTTGCTTATATATGTACTTGTAGCATTCATTGCTATATATATTTATTTTAGTAGCACACATACAACTTGATTGATGTTTATCTTTTTTTTAAAAAAATGTTTCAATTATTCAAGGACTAGGAAATCATGTTATGAAATATTGGTCTTGATGGCAGTCACTTCAGTATTTAATTTATAATCCTGAACAAATGGACGTAGCTTCCTTTTGCAATTGTACAAAAAATTCTTTAGCTGAAAAATATCAATCAATAGTAATGTATCCAGAAATGAAGTAGGTTAAATAAAAATATAATGGCAAACAAATAAAAAGCAATGACCTTGGAGGAACACATGCTAGATATAGAGATTCTAGACATAGAGGCACCGTTTTAAAGCACACAAAGATTGAAAATGAAACAAGATAAAAAGTTCAGTCTTTTTAATTGAAATCAAGCCATCAGGGGAAGTCTAGCGTGACCAGCTATTTTTAACCCTTTAACTGTCATAAATAATTAGTCTGATACTTTGCCATTTTTTAGAAGCATATAAAAATCTTAAAAATGGCTAGAGGCTACAGAAAAATCCACTTGACATGTTATAGGGTTAAATAAAAATGAGAGAGGTGTGCTGCTATGTGCCGGGATGCATTTGACTGCATCCTTTAGAAACACCCCCCCCTTCCCCCAGTACACATTTAGCTGCAACCGTCTGGACTGTTGTTAGTCATAGAACAAAACACAACTGATTCACATAATCATGGGATACCATATAGTACAACATGGGACAACAGACCATGGTGACATACTTATCTGTGAAATTGGACACAATATTCTCATCTGTGATTTTGTTCAGGTCAGTCAAAGTTAAATATAGTTTCATGAACTTATCTGACTGATCCCATGCTGTAAGAATACAAGATAATTTTCACAATTAGTTGTAAAATTATAATTACTATATTAGTCTTACTAGATAAAGTATACAATACTAATTGGGAATGAAACACTGGCTATCGGGTGTGGTAAGATTATTTAATTTATCTTTTCATTGTGATGTGCAGCAATTTTATGAAAGCTTTCCGGTGTGTTGAGTGCAAAGACATAAAGATTGGTATGTGTTGAAATTCAAACAATCAATCTGATGTAATTCTTCAAATATGTTGTATAGGCTAATAAAGAAAAAAAAAGTCTAGATAAAGTTTTGATGGATTTGAACTTTTCATCACTGATCCTCTTTCAAATAAAATGATAGGTATCATACCATAATTTATGATATTTTCCTCGTATCCTACTGTTCCACTGGCTGCTTTTGATTCATGTGCTGCAGCCTTGGCTTCCAACTGTTTCACTTCCTTTTTAAGTCTGTCAACCTCTTTCAAAATAGTCTCTTGAACCCTTGGCCGCTTGGCTGTCTTGTGAAGTTCTTCATACTCCTCAAGGTCTTGTCTCAACTGGAAATTTTCAATCAAGCAAAATTTAACATTGTGATAATACCAACTGACTGGGAAGGACAAAATGAGCACTGTACATAATTGTGTCCCAGGGCGCATCAGCTAGTGTATAATGCGGATGCCCAATGATTCCAACTCTTCCTATTTCAGCCTTGTTACAGACAACACGACATTACCATCAGATTCCAACTCAATCTAATTAATTTTGGAATACCTCCTAATTATCTATAACTGAGAGCAAGGGGAGACTGCAGGTTGTTGAAGGGTCCTGCCACATTTCATTAAAATACAATGAAGTTATTACATTAATCCTGCCACATATCATTAAGATAATATGAAGTTATTACATTAATCCTGCCACATTTCATTAAGATACAATGAAGTTGTTACATTCATCCTGCCACATATCATTAAGATAATATGAAGTTGTTACATTCATCCCAAATTGTGCTTAGGATTAGCCAAAGTGAGGATGGGAATTAATTCGCTATCTCCAACTCAGTCCTTTGTAATAAACTGTTACTTAGGTTACTTCTAAATTAACTAATAAAACAATACCACTATTAGATGAGAGCTTCAATACTCTTTACAGTCGTAAAAAGCATAATTGCCAACCTGTAGAATCAAAACTTGAATAAAAAAAACAACTCAAAAACCTGTAGAGAAACGTGAAAACGTACAACAACAAAAAAATAGAAAGTCATAGTCACTATTGTTGATAATATAACTTCTTTTTCATTTAGTCAACTTTGATAAAATCCTTATTAGTTAGATCTAATCTAAAGCATCTTTCATCATTAAGGTTAAGTTAAAGCTTAATATATAGTAATATACCCTTTTTGTTTTTATTATAGCCCTCGGGCATATATTGATCTACATGTGTACCAATTTTCATAACACTAAATGTTTTAGGAGATACCCCATGGTTCTACGTTTGAGCAGTGTATTATATCGGTCACACAGCCCAACTAGGATGTGATCATGAGCCACTTTTAATGGTGGAAGATGCCAATACTTGGGAAATATTCAATTATTACCACTATTTATATCAAAGATTTGAAAAACTTGTGCTTTATAATGGACTTAGAAGGCACTGAAAGAGGAATAATATGATTTGAGGTTTAAAAACCTGATAGTCTATATTATAAATTATCATAACTTACAGTGTGCAAAACATCATCATGGGGAACCATTCAGTCATTTGCATCTGTAATACTACAATAGTATTATTCTCAAAGTTTCATTTCAACTCATGAATCACGGGTCTCACGTATTCCTAACAAAGGGACGCAACTATAACAATATAACAACATCACAACACCATGTGCAAAAACTTTTACATCATTGGCCAGGGAAAGCGTTTACTAATTTACTCATGTGCCTATGTGCAAAAGTTGAAAGTTCAAAATAAGTAATCCAAAATGAGTATTATTGTTTGGTGGATGCCTTTCTTATATAAACTATATGGATGCTAGATTGGTAAACAGAACATCCATATCATATTTGTTAAATTTACTGATTATAATCATATTTTAATGCATATAACAATTTATTTATAATAATAATAAATTATTTTTTTCATTTAGATCTTTTAATAAACCGAAAATAAAAGTTGTATAAAATTATCATTTGAATGAGTTAATGCCCCTGATGCGGTGACGCAAACAGAGGGTGACAGAATGTGAATGTCCATAGTAAAAAAAATTATTAGAGTCAATTTCCGCACTCTGCAATCAGCTCCATGACGTGTGTCTGTGTAGGATTCTCTCCCTTTTGTTTATGTTTGTCTTTTTACTAGAGTTAACTTTTTCTTAATATGACGATAGATTGTTTTAAATTAAAATTTCATTGGTTGGTTAATTAAAATATTTAAATTTTCCTGCCTTTTGGTATTGTAAAGATTTTCTGACAGCTTTTGGATTTTCTTTTTGGTGGAAACCTGAAATAAAATGTGTAAAAAGTGTAATTCTATGATTGAAACTGTAAGTTGGCCTTTCATTGTTTTAATGTTATTTTGTATTGTTTTTCTTAATTTATAGTTTTCTTACCACAGTGTGTGACTGTAGCCATACCTGTGTTTTAGTTGAAGGAAATGAGTTTGTACCGCCTGAAATTACATCAGGGAAGGAGGCAACCGCAGGTTGTTGAGACTTCTTGCCAACATCAAGATGGACACATTTTAGTAGCTATATTCACCATGAAATTCATGAACAGGCGGACATTTTTTTGATTAAATTGTAAAATTTTGCCCTATTTTCGTTTCATTCGGTAAATATCTAAACCAGCACATTCTCTCCATTTCCCCTCCCCATTTTAGCAGCAGTGTGTTTTTTTTTTACACAGCCGCATCCTTAGTTGCCATAACCAAGGTGGCAGCCGTGGCAAACCTCGTTGCAGGGATAGCGTAAATTTACTAAAATAATGAACTAACGCGCACTTTAAAAGTTCATAGCTCAGAAAGTTAGGCACTTTGATGAAACTTTCAAAATGTTTTTTAAAATATAAAAATACTACAGCTGTAGAGAGCCTAGATAATCTATATATATAAAAATGAATGTTTGTAGGTCTGTATGTATATCTGTATGTCTCGTATGCGCTCCTACACCATTCATGCGATTGCGACAAAACTTTGGTTAGTTGTTGTCCACATAACCGGCCATTTAACTGAGTCATTAAAAACCTTATCAAGTGTTCCGTTCCTAGCCGTTGGCCCTTAATTCGTTTTTTTTTCTTATATGAGCTTTGTAAAAATATTTTCCAGATGCGCTTCTACGCCATTTATCCGATTCATATAAAACTTTGGTGAAATGTTACGAGCATGTCCATAAACATTTCTAAATTATTTCAATCGTTTTAAATTATTCAGTTTTGAGCCAGGGGCCTCATATTCGTTTTTCCTTATATGAGCTATATAAATATATTTTCAAACCGTATGCGCTCCTACACCAATCATGCGATTGCTACAAAACTTAGTGAGTTGTTGTCCATGCGCCAGTGCATTTTACTGTTTTATTTAAACACTTTTAAAAACATTCTGTTTTCGGACGTTGGCCCTTAATTCATATTTTTTCTTATATGAGCTTTGTAAAAAATAATTTTCATATGCGCTCCTACGCCATTTATCCGATTGCAATAAAACTTAAAACTTTGATGAGATGTTGGAAGCACGGCCGCAAAGGTTTTTAAATTATTATAAACTTTTCAAAATATTCAAATTTTAGCCAGCGGCCTTATTTACGTTTTTTTCTTATACGAGCTATATAAATACAATTTCAAACCGTATGCGCTCCTGCACCATTCACGCGATTGCGACAAAACTTTGACGAGTTGTTATCTATAAACATAACAATTCATTACAACACTTTTAAAATATTCCGTTTTGGGCCGTTGACCCAAATTCTTATTTTTTCTTATATGCGCTTTGTAAAAAATAATTTTCTATGCGCTCCTATACCATTTTTCAGAATGCGATAAAAATTTAGTGAGATGTTGTTCTATCGCCCACAAAGGTTCTTAAATTACTACAACCGTTTTAAAATATTCAGTGTTGAGCCAGGGGCCCTATGTTTGTTTCTTACAAAATGAGCTATATAAATATAATTTCAAACCGCATGCGCTCCTACATCATTCAAGCGCTTGCTATAAAACTGAGGTGAGTTGTTGTCCATAAGCCAGAGCATTTTTCTAAGCCATTATAACTCTACTAAAATATTCCGTTTTTTTTTTTGGCAATCGCCCCAAATTCGTGTTTTTTTCCGTACATTAGGAGCTTTATAAAAAAATAATTTCCGTATGCGCTCCTCTACATTATTACAATGCGATAAAATTTTAGAGAGATGTTGTGCGCCCGCCCGCAAAGGTTTCTTAAATGATTACAACCATTTTAAAATACTCCGTTTTTAGCCAGGGGTCCTATGTTCGTTTTTTCTATATAAGCTATACAACTATAATTTTAAGCTATACAACTATAATTTCAAACAGAGCTAAAGCATGAATGGATAGCTTTTTAATCAAATACAAATAGTGATATTAAATTGAGTGTGTGACATATTAAGTAGGTTTCTGAAGTAATACAACAATTCTACAATATTCCATTTGTGGAGGGGGGTCCTAAATTCGTTTTCCACACTTCTATTATCTATATAATTATCGTATGCATTTCTATACCATTCATTCGATTGTGATCAAACTGGGTCAAGTGAAATGCGCACTACCGAAAATGTTTCTAAATTAGAAAAAAACATTTTACAATATTCCGTTTCGGCCAGTGACCCTAATTTCATATTTTCTTCTAAGAGCTTTGTAACTATAATTTCAAACAAAGCTATTGCATGTGTGGAAGTAGCTGAATCCACCGGCAAATTTTTCAAATTTAGTACATCCATTGTACAATATTCCAATTAGGGCTGGGGACCCTAAATTCAATTTATTTCTTAAATGAGCTTCATCAATATAATTTATAACGAAGATATCAACACTACCGCCCTTGAACAAATGACACATTTGTAGTAAAGCAGAGAAAACACGTTTTTACATTTTTAGTGTAGAGAGTATTTTTGTTATGTGTATAAATAAGCTTGAATTTTGTGACGCATTTTAGAATCGGAAATGACATCGAAATCGCGTTTTTTTTTCAACTAAGAGTATTTCTTGAATAGAGTCTTATAATTTCGGAGTTGTTTTGTGTTATGTAAATACATTTTACACCAATCGATGGTTTCTCAAGTAATTAAATAACACACTTGACAGCGTAGATATTGAACCATGGTCATTTTTTACCGCTGGAATTTACGATTTATAAATTAATGAGAAACTATACAACTGGAAATCTCCTGCCAACAATGAACGTACCTATTGTGCGAGGTTTTCATGTAAAAAGATGGGAGATCTTAATGTGTGAGAATTACATTCACCATCAAAACCATTATCATTGTTGGTATCAGGTGACAATAGCCAATCGAAACATTTCTTGGCAAACACAGGCAAATGCAATTCATGTTTCCAAATGACATCGTTCGGTGCAACAAATATCGTGCGCGAGAATTACAAATTAAAGTGAAAGGCCAAATTTACCATCTCTGATGCCAATGCCAAACACAGATCACAAATGTCTTCAAATGATTTCATGGGGAATACTGATGAACAAATCGATCAACGTTGTCATATCAATACGGGCACTAAACGAGAAATCGTAGCTGCAATGCAAACATTTTTGCAACACAACGAATTAATTCAAATGTATAGAGTTGCACTTGAAAAGATGCCGACTGATGAATACAAAGTCATAGTTAGAGCAGACTAAACACCTATCGGCCAACATGAAAGACAATGCAATGCACCAACAATTGATGAAGTGGCGATCATTATAGTTGGCAAAGAATTTAACTCACGTGATATAATTCTTCATCGCAGAAGTGTTGATGTTCAGCGAGTCTCAGAAACTCATCGCTCATACGTTTGATTGCAATATCCTATTGTATTTTGGCAAGGAGAAGATGGATATCATTTTGACATCAAATTGAGAAATTCGAATAAGAAAGACAGTGCCATGAAATACTATTCATATCGATTGATGATTCATGAGTTGGGAATGACCTCTCGGAATCGATCTGCAAACAAACTTTTCGCTCTTGATTTGCAACGAGAAACGCACTTTGATATCGAAGCATTAGGTACGGTACATTTGTTCAAATGAATCTTCCGAAATTGGTTCCATTGAAGTTACTATTTTAAATGGAAAATTTAAACTAGGTGATGTACTTTTGCCATTCACCCCAATGATTCCAACAGATATGCCATTTGAATTCAAACGCCTACAGTTTCCGATGCGACACGCGTCTACAATGACTATCTACAAAGCACAGGGACAATCGCTACAAGTTTGCGGACTAAATTTGGAAAACCCATGCTTCGTCCATGGACAGATGTATGTGGCCTGCTCTCGCGTCGGAAAATCTTCTGAATTATTCGTGTATATACCAGATGGAAAATCAAGAAAAACTTTGAGTATTTAAAAGCTCTTGAAGAAACATAACATGCAAACACTTTCTTTCCTTGAGTGGCATTGCAACGCATGCCGGGTACTCGCTAGTGATTTATAAAAACACCAAGGTCAACTTTGTAGCTCAAGTGCGGAAAAGTTATGATTTTTGTAGTAAGTACCTCAAAACCACTTTTTCACAATGGGGTTTCCTCCACATTTTGATCCCCTCATTTTGCTTATGAGTTTATGCCTAAACTGTTATTATAAAATGAGATAAAAATAAAATATTTACAGGGACATAGTTAAATACAAGCAACAAAATTAAGCTTTTGTTAATATTCCACACAAAAAAATTAAAAATTAAATTTTCCTTATTAAAAAATTGATTAAAAAATATGCTGACTTGTAATTTATTTCTATTTAATTAATTAATTTTCTTTAAATACATGCATATCTTTTTTTAATTTCCCTAAAGTAATAAAAATAATAATATTCTTTAGATATTTATTTCAAATTCTCTGTGGAATTGTTTATTTATAAGTCATAATAAGTATAAACAAATAATAGATGGATTATTTGATTCATTTAGTTAAAATTGACAATTACACTTTCTATTTTACCATTTTCTATTATGTATTTTAGTTAAATATGAATACGACCAAAAATTAGTTTTTCATTTATTTTAAGTTAGTAATCTTGTTTCACAAATCAACATGCATCACCTTTGGAGGTTGATAGCAATTAAAATAAGTTCTCGTCATTTGCTTAAGGTAAGTGTAAGTTTTTATGATTGTTCTTTAGTAATATCTTAAGTAATTCTTGGATTATTGCGGCAGAAAGTATGTTATTTCTTTAACAATATCCAGGATTATATAATTATTTTCTTGCGAATATTGTAATTTTAATATGATTAATATGTGATGAAATAGAGGATATCTCAATATCAAAGGTAAGTGAATATTTTTAAAATTTGTATTTAGTTTATTTATTAAAATATGATGACATAGCCTGACATAGCCTAAAATATCATTTCATAATGTAATGTATAATAAAAGGTCCCACAAATAAGTTGGGTTGGGGCTAGGCCTATACTATATACTATACTATATATAGTCTGTCATATATATATATATATATATATATAAATATATATATATATACACATACACTATTATAAATATATTAGTTGTAATAAGGGCTATTTATCCCACCCCCCTTATTACTTATAATAGTAATATTACCATTATAATACTTTGACTGGGCTTAGGCTTATCTAAGTTTAAGACAAGAGGCATTATTTTTATTATAATACTTCAAGTAGGTCTATCTAAGTCAAAGACAAGTGGTTATCAATCCAAAGTCCATGGCAACCAACCCCACAATTAAAGCCACAGATATTTCATAACCCAATAATAATTATTTATGTTATAAAACATTTTTTATTTATTTAAAATGATTTATTATTATTAGTTATATTTCCCAGTCATATTCTGGATAGCCAATTTACTGAATTATTAAATATCCCACGGCAGACAAGCTTGGTTGCCATGATGACAAATTAAATCACCTAAAGATTGACCTCTTTTTGACGTTTGTTTTTTACTCCTGCCTAAGGTCTACACAAATGAATTTTTAATACGTAATAAATGAACCAATAATCTTACTAAGCAGTTTTTTTAAAGATTGAGTGTTTAAAAAAAATTTATTGACCAGTTAAATATACCAGTTAGGTTTAGGGTCAATACCCAGGTTAGGTTTAGGGTCAATACCCAGGTTAGGTTTAGGGTCAATACCCAGGTTATGTTTAGGGTCAATACCCAGGTTAGGTTTAGGGTCAATACCCAGGTTAGGTTTAGGGTCAATACCCAGGTTAGGTTTAGGGTCAATACCCAGGTTAGGTTTATGGTCAATACCCAGGTTAGGTTTAAAGATAGATTTAAGGTTCAGGTTAGGTTTAGGGACACATTTAGGACATTTTTTCATCAATTTTGTACGTTTTATTCCTAATTTTAGCAAATGGCCGCCATCTTAGTTGCTTCGACCTGTGAACCCGTCAAAGTTCACATTTCACAGCAACCAATAGGCTGCGGCTATTCAGACCCGGCTACCAGAAGTGAGAGGTTGGGATTAAAAAATGTATAAAATATTATTGTTGGGTTTGTAAGATAAAATTTGGTATTGAATAAAAGATAATTGAATAAACTAAATGTAAACTATAGCATTTAGTCAAAATGGATCCGGACATGCATTGCCGCTATTTGGACCCAGGTCCCTTTACTTTAGACTAAATGCTATTTGGCATTATTTGGATGCCATTTGTGGTAGTTTATTTTAGTTAAACTGAAAAATTAAGTTTTTAATATAGTCCATTCAATTATCTTTCATTTGATACCAATTTTTGTCGTACAAACCCTAAAATAATATTTTTAATATTTTTTAATAAACCAAACCTCCCACTTCTGATATCGGGTCCGAATAGTCGCAGCCTTCAAAAGTATTATTGTATTGTAGTGTTTGTAAGTAAGAAAAAATTAGGTATCAAATGAAAGATAATTGAATTTGTTAACTTACTTCTTCAGTTTAACTAAAATAAGCTACCACAAATGACATAGGAATAGCATTTATCATTTAGTCTAATCTGTAATCTAAAGGCTAAAGGGACCTGGGCAAGCATAGCCGCTTTTCAGACCCGGGTCCCTTTAAGTTTTTGGGGTGGGTGGGTGAATATACCTTTGCATTAGTGGTCAAATGACAAAGCTGACAGATATCTCACCCAACGTTGTCACGGCAGTCACCGAACGAATATCTCGAGAATTATGTTTTATTCGTCCGTCGCCGGACATGTAAACACTTCAAATTTACAAAAGTAAAAGTGAAGATAAATTTAAAAAGATTTCTAGGTCTCAAAGTAGTTAAAATGAGCATATTTCAATAAACATTTTCCTGCAGAGGCCTCCGGACCCTGCTTTAGCTGGAGGCCCCCCCCACCCAACACTCCTTACTCCTTGGGCTTGTCCCGTTTTTTTCCAGTTCATGATTTGGTCACCCTACTTCAATGACAGTTCCATTCAGATGTCATATGTGGTAGTTTATTTTATTTAAACCGAAGAATTAAGTTTAAAAACATATTAAAATAGTCCTTTCAATTATCTTTCATTTGATACCAAAACATTTTTTTAATCCGAACCTCTCACTTCTGGGACCCGGGTCCGAATAGCCACTTCGTTTAAAATACGCACTAACTTTAGAGGTTTGGTCAGCATAGTCTAGATTATAGATTATTTATACAGTCGAATTATAATTACTGACCTCTTCCAAGCCAGGTTGTGACATCCTTAAGTATGAATGAATTCAAGATAATTATGAAAAGTGCAACACGCAGAATTCGCACTTGTGGTTATTGCACTTTCGAGAAAATTCCCGGAATCTCAGTTTTAAATTATTTTTTTATAAACTGGACGAAAATTAACGGAATAAATAATAATACAATACCATAGTACAATTTAATACTAAAACTAGTTATGGGTTTTAATTTTAAAGAACAAAAATCTTAATGTCGATTTTTAAGACCCATCATTATCTATACAAATTACATATTTTACTTCATTCAGTATTAGTAATTTAGTTAAATATTGAATTGCTTTCTAGTTAGTACTTCTTATAGTCATAGTCATAGTTACATAACTCATACTCATACGACGATAACAGCCCTTTTTAATCTGTATGTTTTTTTTAAATTTCAACATATTTACTAAAATATAATTATAATTTTTATTTAACATTTTGTTAGACCCATAACAAACACAGTCATCATCATCAGTGGTGCTTCAGGCTACAGCTCATGTAGGGCCCTGGTCTGCTCAACTCACCAGATCGATCTTGGCTTTCCGCCTCCATGCGGGGGCCCCCAGCTGATCATTATGTGAAAAGGAACTAAGTAAAACAAGTTATGGTCAAACCTGAAAAAAAAGAACGAAGCAAAACAACGAACGTGTCGGCAGGAAGACTTCGTCAGCGAACAAACAACAGAAAAAACAGACTTAAATTTTAAAAATAGCTTTACATGAGAAGTAGTATCCGAGAGGGCAGCTAAAGAATTGTGACAGAAAATAAGTAGGTGAGAGATTAATAGGGGAAAGAAAAGAGGAGAAGTCAGTCCACTGCAATTGGTCATGACGTGGAGTGGAAGGGGAAAGGCTTAAACTGTGAATAAAGACATGACGTTCGTGTCATGTGGTGTCAAGGTTCCATAGGTCTGGATAAGATTGTTTTCCAATTCGTTACAGTTCTTAAACACACTTACCTCCCCCTGAACTTCAATCATTTGTTCTTGTCATTGTTATACTGTGGACTTATTTAACAAGGAGAAATCCATCGTGGAATTCGGGGGGGGGGGGCAGGGGCGGGGCGGGGGGGGGG